ACAACCAATCATTTCAAACATCATCATATCAATTAATCTATAAATAGAGTGATATTTCAGTTAACTGTTAACAAAACATTACACTAGTGTTGTTGTTTATTTGGGTGGCTACTAATAAGTAATAAAGAGGTAATGTGTATTTTTTAAATTATTTCTGTAGCGTTATATTATGTAATATAAATGAAATTGTAATTGTTTTTTGGTGGAGTTTTGTTCCCTGAGCTGAATGGTTCTACCTGAACTTTGTGCTGATGATGCCGTTCAGAAGAACGATGAAAGCCCCATGACCAAACCATCCAGCTCAGAGAACAAAACTTCACCAAAATCATCCACCCGAGCTACAAATCTTCTCCACCATTGTAATTGTTTGCTAAAATTTTTCCTTAATTTCCATCTTAAAATTATTGTTTAGATTAGAGATAAGAGATTTAATGAAAATAGAAATAAACCATTCATGATACTTAGACATGCTAGCTATGAAGAAATATGTATTGTTGTTTGTCACTAAATACTTATTTTAGAAATTTCAATGGTTAAGATCATGAGTCAATTGAAGCCAAACCACTGTGGAAAACCCGGAAGCACTGGACAGCCATTTCGTCCTATTGTGGGACTCCTCAGCAGTGCGCATCCACGACCTTGCCTCCTGAGAGATTTTAGAGTTCTTAAAACATTTAATGTAATCAGGGGCAAATCATCTATCATATGGTTACACAGTAATCGTTTCTATAAATCAAGCTTTATCTGACTACTTATGTTGATGCCTAGAACTAAATGGAATGGATCATAATCATATGTAATACCAGTCGGTGAATTTGTATCGACAAGTGTGTAATCACTAGTAAGAATCTGAGAGATAAATATGATCTATGGTTTGAGATAGTGATGGAAGATAAGCAATATTCAAGTTGATCATATAGAAATGTAGCAACCAGTAACATTTACATTTAAACTATGAATTGGTAAAATATAAAACTGAAACATCCAATACTCCTCTGTATTTATTTCAAATTAGAGCTCAATATCATTTCATCCTTCTTAATATTAGGCTTCAGTCATTTTGTTTAAAACCATTTTTATCATGTTTAGCTTTCAACGACATCTGAAATTACTTCCTCCCTTTACTGCTTCTTATTTTATTAACATCCTTTCCTACTATAAAGATAAGAAGTGTGTTTATTTGGGCCGACACACACTTGTCCGAGGTCTGTGAATGACCTCCTCATTGAATGACTGCCAGTTTCGAAAAAGAAATTCCAGACAAACATAAAATTAGATGTGATAACTATATTGCCTTCTCTTGAAGCCAATACTTTGACTATATGACACACTGTGGTTTTTTCTTTGATGACTACACTGTTCTTACATCCATGAGATCATGATTTTTCAATATTCAATAGTTAATCAAGTGAAAAGAAAGTAATTTTGGATAGATATTTATTCTATATACATTGAATACATTCTTATTCAAGAAAACCATTTACCATGGCAATGACCATATGTTTCCAACTTGGAAATGTCATACCAGTTAATGGTAGAAAATGGTTTAGAGTTATAGAATGAATAAAAGCTAAAACGTTAATCAGGTCTGAATAATAATGACTGAATGTCAATTCAATGTGAATGATGTGACACATGTATATTGTGTTAACTTTGAAATCAGTCCATCACAAATAAATTTTCAGTACAGATAAGTATTTTGTGTAGTAAAGATAGTTTAAAGAATTTGGATTGTTATAATTGATGGTCAACTGTTATGACTGTGTCATCAATTGTTATATCTGCTTAACGCTAAGTGTTCTGTCGGAATCGTTTATTACTTATACTTGTGAAAACGAGAAAATCACTGCCATTCCCACGATTTGAAAGTAAGAACACAAACACTGAACAGGTGAAGATTTATTGTTAACCTCAAAACACGACGACGACTCTAGTCGATAATACACTCACCCTTTTTTGGTTAATAATTAGGATAAAATCACATATACGATAAATACCTAGAGTTATAACATAATATATGCTACATGTCTTGCTGAGCATAGTTCATGCTCACTCGATACAAGAATATCGTATGTTATACAGAATGAAATGTAATACAGGAAAATAGAAACAAACACTACACTGAATAATTATCGCATAGAATTGGAATGGAAGTAACGTTGATTAGAAATCATAATGAGTAAAAGAATGCAATTTTGACTTTTCTTCGCGTCATATCATCGATAATTAACCATAAATGACTATTTAAGAATTCAAATCCACTGTTAGATGTTTCACTGAGACTACAAAACAGAGTTTTATATCATCATATAATTCATATCTTCAATGTAGTACATTAGTTGATCCGTATGTAAAAGATATTTTATATTTATGGATTGAAAAGTGATGAACCAATTAACCACACTTATTATCAGAATGGGTTTTTGTGGAGAATTTACAAATTTCAATAGTTGAAATCATGAGTCAATTGAAGCCAAACCACTATGGAAAACCTGGAAGCACTGGACAGCCGTTTCGTCCTAGTATGGGACTCCTCAGCAGTGCGCATCCACCATTCGAACTCAGGGCCTATCAGTCTCGTGCCAGGCGCTTAAGCAACTAGACCACTGATCTGGCCGGCATTCAATGGTGTTAATGTCTAACTTCAACTAATCCACGAAGTTGCACCACCGTACACCATTTTCTTCAGTGAGTTGATATCTCACAACCACACTTATATCTGTACTATGAAAAAGTAAAATATCGGATTGAAGTAACCAAACACTGTTTTACTGAGTTAAAGTTAATAAAATAGTATTACACTTTATAGATTTACATAGATATTACTAATTAATCAAGCTATGAATCTAGTCACTCGATAGATTAAATTAGTTCTATTCCTAAAATGATACATAATATCTAATCAGTACCATGTTACCAATGAATTATTCATAAAAGGAGTTACTTTATTTATGATGTATACTAAAATAATGATATATATATATATATATATATATATATAATACTTAATATAATAAGTCATATGAAAGTAAGTAGTTAGAATGATCTAGAACAACATTGAAGTATAATTTCTCATCAACGTGTTAGGGCGGTGGCGGCGGTGGTGGTGGTAGCGGCGGGTGGGGGGAGGAAATTATAATCATCATGTAATACTTGTCAATCAATATTAATGTATCATGATTATAAATAGATTATTGACAAAATCTAAAAGATCTTCTATTGTTTTGTCAAATAAACAGATCATATTGACGGCGTTCATTTGTTCTATATATATAAATACAGTGATACCAAACAAATGTAATTCGGAGTAAACAAGTTTATTTTTGATCTTGTTTATCTTTTGTTTTATATTACACTATATAAAGCATTGTATAATGAATGAATGATTATTGTATTTTCTTTACAGAGACTAACTACAGTTCAACGGTGAGAAATCATTTAATTTAATACTTTTTTTATAAAAAAAAGTCGTTGAATATCTATTTATTCATTGATGTTGATGTTAGACACTAACACCATTGGATACCGGCTCAGTGATCCAGTAGGTTGTTCAGTGCTTCCAGGTTTTCCATGGTCGTCTAGCTTTAATTGACTTATAAATTCAACTATTACTATTACTAAAATATCCATAAAACCCCTTTCTGATTGTAAGTGTATTTCTTGAAATGTTGCGAGTCTAATTATTTAGAATATATGCTAATTCATTACTTAGAATTTATGCTATAGATTTTATAAGAGTAGAACAGAAGTTATTTTTCTCTTTCTAAGCGTGAATATATGATTTGGTTGAGGTTAGATATTAATAGCTCTACTGTCTTATAGATTAGACATTTGGGTCAAAGACTCCGGTTGTGGCCCCCTATGAAAACCACTGGTCTCGGTTTGGTCACCCGGATAGTATCATAGCCCATACACAAATCAATTGATTTATGTGGCGCATATCTATTCAATGCTTCCTTGTACCAATGTTCATGTGTTTAAATAATAATAATAATAATAAGATATAAGATTGAGGATTTCATTTCACTCTCACGTCATCTAACAACACGACACTGTAGCCTATCTCACGTCGCTGAATGGAAATGTTATTCAAGTGTAATTTAGTACTTATCATTAAATCCATAGTGAAAAAATGCTTATTCAGTGAATGAACCAAAAATGTCCGAAAATCCGCTTTTCATCTTTATTAAAGACTACAGAAAGGATGGTTATCCTCACGCCTTTTTGTCATTGTCAGTAACTAATGCATCTACTGTAAGAGTACTGAAATTATTAGGGGAGGTTATTTCATTTAATTATTTTCTGTCATACACTTTGAATGAATTATCATTCATATGTCAAACACTGAAAAATAAATGATAGCACTATATTATTTATGTCTATAACGTTCTAGTTATAATTTTTTTTGTAATCGGTTTTGAAGCATTATTTGGGTAAACACTGACGACACTCCCAGGATTCCGAAGTCGAAATGAGTGGAACAAAGTTTTAGAGTATAGCTTACGGGTTAGGGAATTAGTGAGATTGTCTAATAAGCTCATGTCTTTGTATTCACATGACTTATTCGAGGTCATGATGTAATTATAAACTTGAAGTATGATGGTAAATAAACATTCATCCGTTTTTCACAAACATATGAACAAAGAATAATTATTTTATCCAAATAATTGCTAAATTCTGATTACTTTGTTCATATTTTGGCGGACGAACAACACCATAAATTAAAAACCTCTTTGTTAAACTGACCCTTTCACTGAAAAATGTTATTATGAGTGTGAATTCAAGAAATTAATGATTAGATTGTACCGTGGCGTCGAGTCGCGACTGACTATGATCACCAATACAAGAAGGTTACGTACCAGATATCAGAAGGCACTTGGAGGTTGTAGCGAAGTATATTTGTTGGTGATCTCATGGTATCGAAAGAATACCGAGATCGTACCAAAGGAGTACAAGTGGATTCACTGAGCAAACGTAAGTTCGTGAAAGGTCACAATCAACGGAACGAAGAATGGATGTCTTTATTACAATTAAACAAACAAGTACAGTAAAACAATCCCTGGTACAATTGGTTATAATAGTAATAGTTTCGATCACACCAATCGCGTTCTGTTGATAAAAGTAGGTCACTATAGGATCATGCCTTAAGTTTATCATGTAACCGTTTACTTCAAAGTTTATTCCTGCATACAGTAGTATTAGTGTAGTGAATAAGTGTGTATTCATATAAACAAATGACTTAGTAACTGGTAAATGTGGGATTTAAACCAAGAATGAAGACTAAATAACAATCACCTTATTTCACATTGTGTGTTGAATATATTAAGTAATTATATATATATGTTTATGGTCTATTGTTTCCGTCAGCCTGAAAGAAAGGAATAGTGGAGTCTTACATGTCTATCGAAAGTTGGGGTCATTTTTGTGTTGTATTATATTATTGTAATTATTATTATTATCATGACAAGTGTGCATTACAAAAACGTTTCCCTATACCATTTCGTCTGTTAATTACTCACAAGCAGGAAACATGTAAGTTAGTGTTTTCCATAAAGAAAGAACTTGCTGAAATTAAGTTCGCTTTTTGACATTTATAAACAGCGCCATGTATGTTAACTTATGAAACTTTTGATTTTTTTTAGGGGAAAAGACGACGATCATCAGTAAGCTGAGATAGTTTTAGACATATCTTTGTATGTAATCTGATGTAGAAAATATTTATGTAAGGCCCAATTATTTACAATTGTTGATGAAAGAGCTATGGGGAAATTGATTTGACTTTTTAATCGATATTCTTCTCAAACTAGTTTCTATCAAGATCATACTCAAAATGGGCTAGAACTGAACAATATTATGGAGCTCCTCTGCATTCTACAACTACATAACTGGCTTGGATAAAACCCATGATTTTTAAGCCCGGTTTCATGTTTAACGCATTATTCATACATGCTCAACTTCAATGAACTCATAATATAGCACGAGAGTTATTTAATCCTATTGGTTGCAATTATTTCACTTTTGAATGATTAACTCCTTACGATAACGACTTCTCATTTGAAATTCAAGAACTTACCCTGAAGTAAATCACTACTGAACGGAAGATTATTGTATTAATCTGAGAGTTTTGTGTAGATTGATCCAAATAGTATGCGAAATTTTTCATAGGACAGCAAAACAACTATCAAGTGCTCCATGGTCTCTACTAATACTTAAAATGAGGTCGAACTCGGATGAATAACACTTAAGAATTACATTTTAAGTACCTGAAAATTATTATTTAGACTGATAGGTAGTAATTAATAAACGCTTTCCATAATAAACTAATGAAGGATTTTCTTTCAAACTCAGTTTTAGTAAATATAACTCTAAGAATTCTATGAAACAGTCATGCTCTGTTATAAACTGATTGACCTAGATTATTCTGTATTCATGTTCTCACACATTCACTCTTTCATTAATCTAAAACAGTAAGGTAAGAGTGAAATTCAAAGCTTTGAATCAACAACACAGCTTCAATTGACTCATGATTTCAATCAAACACTTAACAATCTCCACAACACCTTAACTGATAATTACCATGTGCTCACTAGTGACTAGCTTCGTTAGAAAATTCTCAGAGTTCTGGTGAGAAGCCATAACCAGTGTCTATCCCAATACAATGGAAGACGGTCGCGCAATTCCGTGGATTGATTGAAGTTAGAGATTAACACCATTGGATGCCTGCTCAGTAGTCTAGTTGGTTAAGCGCTTGGCGCAAGACTGATAGGTCCTGGGTTCGAACCTCGCGGGGTGCGGGATCGTGGATGCGCACTGCTGAGGAGTCTCTTACCAGGACTTCCAGGTTTTCCATGGTGGTCTGGCTTCAACCGACTCATGATTTCAATTAAACACATACAATGTAGTTATTTCGAACGTTGTAATTATGTGAATGAAGATTTTTAACAAAGCAATGGAAGGGAATATGGATTTAGTAAGAAGTTACTCTCTGTATACTGACATTCATCATTACGGGAAAAATCGAAATAGGGCTTCAACAAATCAATATATTTAGATCCATATTATTATACTTCAAATTTTTGAAATAGACATTTACTATGAATGTTGTTGTTATTATATTTGTTTAATACAGTTCAGGATCCAAAGATCAGTACGTTCTTTCAGTACAATTTACCTTTTAGTTCATTAGCTATTCTTTTGTCAAATACTTTCGGTAATGTACTTTATTTAAAAACTTGTGAAGCTAAATGGAAACAATGAATGAACCTTTACTTCATAATGTCAATGTGAAAGATAATTTTGTTTTCATTAAACCATTTAGAAAATCTAGAATATCTAGACTAAGGTTACCATTAGAGAGATCTAGATTCAGACTCAATCGTTCATGTTGAATATCACAGTATATATTAAACAAAGATTTTAACAATGTTAATTCTTCTTGAACACACACTGCGAAGTATTCATTTCAGTTGAGAATATGGTTTATCTTCAGCAATTTTATTGACATTTGTCCTTATTTAAATTGAATGAGTTCGATCCTCTGTGAGAAAGATTTATGCAAAGTCTAGATACTTGGATAATTTCGAATTTCTAACCGTGATTTTGTTAATTTTGTGGAAGTACTTAACTGACTTGGTACTGAGACTTCGTGAATCGGACGACTCATGTAAAAACATGAAGACGATAATTAAAGGTTTGCTTGACTCAACAAAATAAATCAAAATCACATTTGAATACACTACTTCTTGTGTGATTTATTCACATTCAGATTAACAGCTAGATTCGTATAAACTGAACTAAGCAGTATCTAACATCACCTAGTTAATAACTTATAATGTGAACAAATATTTACCGTATCATATAATCAAGCATCTATAACCAATAGGAATAACCAAGTAACTAAGTTATATAATTACCCTTTTTCAAAATACGATTATAGATCAGAGACGATTGAGAAACATTCGATGATAGGAATTTGATGGTCATATATGTGTACTGATTAACCATAATGAGAGATTTTAGGTGGGAAATCAATAGATGTGGTAGATAATATGAACCACTTATTCACCGTGAAAGATTGCAATAAAATGACTTCACTAACTTAATATTCGACAGTCAAATATACGTGCTCCTCTATTTCTTTATCACACTGATAACATAGTGAGAATGAGAACTATACTTACTGAAACGCAAGATAAAACTGGAAACTCAACTAGACTTGTAAAATTGGTTGATTTGAGCTAGTAGGCCTCCTATGATGCTGTTAATTAGAGTTAAACGACATGCATTGTTTTCCACTTGTTCTTTTCCGACATTGGGAACAGAAAAGACAATAATTTTACAGAATGCAATGAGGAATGTAAATGAAACGGTATTGCAACAGCATCCATTTATGTACGACTATTAACAATTTCATGGATACAGTAAAATGTCACATTGTGAAATGTTATCAAATAAATAATTGAGCGGGTAGATTCACATTATTCATCAAAATTTAACTAGCCAAACACTACTAATGAATTAATTAACTGAACACTTACAAGTGGTATTTTAATGAACAAGATCATAGACGAGAACAGCCAAATGTCTCCGAACACATTACAGAATATCTTGGTAAAATCTGAGAACCATATAGTAAATAATTCATTTGCAAATAATCCATTGATTGTCCTAAACTTTGTTGTTCCTTCGTTTCTATACCAATCACTCCCTGTTCTCATTCTCTTCTCTTTGATTTTCTCAATCGTCTGCCGCCAAGCACTCCACTTTCGATTGGTAATACATACTACTTATAATTGTCGACATCAGTAGTACACACCATAGTACTATTTTCTACAATGTTTCTCATCCATCTTTAATGTTTGTTGTGTCAACCAACTCTTTCATGATACTTGACTGATTATTTGATATAGTTTGTTATTTAATTATTATGTTTACCTTGATAAATTACCGAATAAAACAATGATTTGACTATTTTTTTTTACTTTCCTTTGTATTTAGCAAAAAAGATAAACCTCAGTAAGAAATCATGTTTAGAGTAAACAAGAAACCAATGCATTTGTTCCATTAATTCATACACCATTACATGTGAAATTGCTTTCTTTATCAAAGATTTCTATGGATTAACTCATGTATAGTATCATATCGTTAAGTTAAATAAGATTAAATATGACCTGAAAATAAGAAATTGTTTCTTGTGTTATGCATGTATAAACATGAAATGTCCTCTTGCACTATTCATTCTCCATTTATAACATTATCAAATTATTGATGATAAGTCAGTTGATCAATATCATCAGAAAGCATGACACATAAGCATGTTGAACAAGTTACCATGTCAGAGAAATACAATGAGATGAAAATGAACAAGATAAAAAGGGAAAGAAAGTGAAATAATTTAATGGAAATGATAATGAGAGATTGATTTTGGCTATCAGTGGAATCCAGCACACACATTTTGTTCAGTTCAGGGCTCAAACTAATTACCTTTGAATCCAACCACCCAGCAAGTTAGCCATTTAGCCACTGAGATCAAACAAACACCCATTTGTTTAACTGTTACGGACTTAATATCATTATTTGGATGGGTTTGGATTATCCCGTTGTTGATACTGTTTGACTCTTGAAGTTAGTATCAACACTAGGATGAAGATATATTCAGCTAACGATTCCTAAATAGAATTAAATGTGTACCCTAAATTAACGTCTGGCCACAATGAATCTATTCCATAAAAACTTATGAAAAAACGTCATATTGAGGCAACATGCACACAATATACTATGTCAGTTAAGACTGATCGAGATTCGGTCAATAATATTAACAGCAGAACAATCCAAACCCATCCTAATAATAATGTTAAGGGTATGTTTTAGAGCGATTGAGTGTAAATGTCTATATGAAGAAATTCAAGATCTAGAGATAGATAAAGAATCAATGCATCAACGCTATTGTGACTGATTCCAGGCCATATTGATCAAAGCTCCTAACCAATGATTACAGTTATTGTGCGGACTCCAACCAACTAGTCTACATCTACCAACAATTATTGACCTCATTGACTGATGTCACGTCATGGTTCGATTGTACCTAGCTTTTTTCCAAACTAATTCTGAACTAATAAACACCTCTAGCCATGGTAGTGAGTGGTTAGGTACAATTAACAAAATTCTTAACCACATTAATCGATGAAGGTTTACAAACTCATCGACCAAAGCTCAGTAATAGACTGGTTATGTTTAGCCACTGTGAAACAAATCACTTATATAAAAAACAAGATACTAGCAAACCCAAGTTTGATAAAAGTAAGTATACAACTTCTAAAAAAAGACCACCATTCTCATGAACAGGTGGCTTTGTGAAATCAGTGACATCAGTTCAATTTATAGATACAACATTTAAAACAATTAGTTCCTATGATAAATTTCATTGGCATAATAAGAGGACGAAGATAATACATTTCGAACAATCTGATCATTTACAAGTGATTCAAATAATCTTTTATTGAAACAAAGGTTTAAATCAGACGTCTTGTGCAGTAAAGGTCGTTATCAAGGAAAGAACAAGGTTCATGCTCCATGGAAAACCTAAATGACATCAAAACGATCGCGTCACATCCCACTGTGTTTACCAATTTAAATATATGTGTGTTCTTACATACATAGAGAGGAGTAATCGTGATCTCAAAATTAGGGTATCTGGACATGTTGCAGAACATGGTTGCAGAAACAAATAGAATCAAATGACTAAATAAGATTAGAGCCTAAACATCCATCATCCTCTATTGCCAAACACATAATTGAAACAGGTCATATGATTGATCTTAACTCTGCTTTTGTGGTGTAAAAGGGCGTATACTAAAGTTTGTTGAAGCCTTAGCCATACGAAAATTCAAACCCCTCTGTGTATTCAAAAACAGTTTGTTCTCACCTTAAACTTACCCTGGTACTGTTAGCTTATTATTCAGAGTGATGAGGTTTCAAATTGTCTTCCTATTACTTCTTTATTATCCTTGTCTCCTCTTACACTCCGTTTCTAGTCCAGTTCACCTTTTGTTTCTTTATAGATAAATGTTATTAACAAGTATATATGTGATCAGATTGTTCGAAATGTATTGTGCTAATTATATCATCACATAGTTCTGATAATTTTCGTCTTCTTATTACACTATTGAAATAGAACATTGTTTAGCGTTTGAATTATCTTTTCTGGTTATGTTTTCTTAAAGAGTTAGTTTTCTACGGGATGGGGTCGCTAACCCAATGCCTAACCCTCCCCCTTTATCCGGGCTTGGGACAGACAGTAGCCGCAATGGGGCTCCAGGCAGAGTGACAACATTGTTTATCTAGACAATAAACAATATGAGAAATATTCCTTTATATTTGAATAAACCTGGGATTTAACAATTAGAAAAACACACACACTTTAATTTCACTTAGTGACTATATTTTAAAAATTTATTAGTCTCTAAGGCTGTTCGAAGAAGTTTGTTTCAGCTTGATTTTTCTATTTATTGACAAATTACTTTTAAGAAAATGTTATAATTGTTATTCAACTAATTTTTCACATTTCTAGTAGCTCTAAGGATAAGTAAGAGATTCTAGTCGTTTTGTTTTGTTGGTATTTTTTCTTTGATGTTATTCATCATCGTATTAGTCTATAATCAGAGAGGAGTTTTGTGGATAGTACAGTAATTTAATAGTTGAGATCATGAGTCAATTGAAGCTAGATCATCATGATAAACCTGAAAGCACTGGAAGAACGTTTCGTCCTGTTGCAGGACTCCTCAGCAGTGTGCGTCCACGATCTCGCCTCGCAAGATTCGAGTCAAGAACCTATCGGTCTGGCGCGCGAACGCTCAAGTTGTAGACTACTGTTACGGTATCCAACGGTTTTAATACCTAACTAGAAAAAAATGTTAAAAATTTCACGAATTATTGATTATTGTATGTTTATTTTTTTCATCTTTAAGAAAAAAAGACGAACATAGTCAGTAAGTTTTGTATTTTTTAATAAATTTATAAAATGAGTCAACTATATGAGGTGAATGAAACTTCTTAACGTACAGTACATTCGATACATGTCGGGGACGTTAATTTTACCAGTATTTTACATACTGATAACATGTATTTGTTGCCCTTTGTAGTAACACTGAATTTATAATAATTCAGAGCATTTACGGTTTGTTTCTTTTCTTAAGGAGGTTGTTTTTTGTAACTAGATAGTATATAAGAATTCTGTCTTCAACAGCAAGAAAGAAAAATGTAGTTGAACAATCTCAGCAATGAAATTTGAAGTACATCCGACATTCCTCTCAGCAACCTATTCTAAGTTCTTTTCAAAGAGATATAATCAAATATTAAAATTATTGAATATAAATAAGTATATGGTTCTCCCATTAACTGTATAGTAAATATTTCCTTAAATAACCTTGGATCAGATCATCCAGGAAAACGTTGAACTTACTTCAAATTCATTAACTGAGATTTTACCAATACATTTCTCCTTCTTAATGTCTTACATCAATTCAGCGTCCAAATACTCTGAAACTATTGATTCAAATTCAGACGAAAGTTTTTATAAAGTGAAGTAGCGTTTTCTGAATAACATTATTTTAGTAATATCCTTTTTATGAGATGGAATCGCTAGCCCTATAACTAGGCCTCCTCCTTTGCTCAAGCTAAGGATAGGCACTCACCCTGGAATAACTTCATGCTGAATTAAAGTAAAATAGACTAAAAGTAGTAGAAAGTGTTTCTAGTGTTTCTAGACGAATTCATTATTTAATGACTTTTAATTATACTTTTCTTCAGTTTAATGTAATTTACTGTAATTTCTGGTTTACTTCCACTCATAAAAGTCATAAATCGGGTTCGAAACATCGGTGAGTGTTATTATATTCTCCAATGGATCATATAAATTATCAATGTTCAGTTTATTAAAGAAGCATCAGACATTTTCTGAAAATATCCCTAATGATATATGAAATAAATAACCAAAGATAGGTATATTAGTAGTGAAATATGTTGCTTAAAATTAATAGTAATCATTTCAGTACTTCAAGTAGATCACCAACTCATATTGATAAATCTTACAGTGTAGGTTTCCATGGATTCTGAATAGTTTACAAACGTTCTTTGATATAAGTTAGATGAAAGTTCCAATGATAGTTTACTAGATGTATGGACATGTTAACTTTGAATTAATTCGTTATTTGGTTACGTTAGAATTGTGAAGAATAGTCACTATCTGAATAGATTAAGAGGTAATATTCCCAGTTGCAACAAACTGTGACTCAAATTGTAATGCAGTTTGGAGCGATAGGTCAGTTAAGTTATTATATATTCTTTGATACCAAACACTTGCTTGATCAAAATTTGCTTGTAGAATTACTTCTTGATTGCCTACAGAAAAACAACAACAGTATTTCGTCACACTTACTCATTTGGAAATGATACCACGTTACAACTCAATCTATAATACTTGACGAGAGATAAATACGAGAAGCATGATACTGTTAACACCCGGTGATTAGTTGGTGTTAAGTAGAGTAGAACTTACATATGCATAGTGAACCAAATATCAACATGCTGTTTTATTATGAATGTATATGCTACGTTTCTTAAACTATGAGTATAACTACAATGATTATTTATCTTATATATCAAAAGTCACGTATCTCTGTATTTCACTCCGTCTTACAACTGTTCAGGTCTTTCATTACCTATAATAGTATTAACTTCAAAATCGTGACCAAAACAACTCATAATCTTCTATCGGTGATACAGTTGATATCACTGGTGACAATGATATATATTTATACAGAATTAATGAATCTTAGAATCATTTTCGCCTAAATAGCTTGATCGGTTCCGAAGTTAATTAACTAATATGTTTCTATATTATAATATTCATAATCAATATCTTAGTCCCCATGTGTTTTTTAAACAAAACTTTATTTGATTAGTTCTGGATCATCGTAAGTCAATTTTTGATAATTGATCCAAATTTGGAATTGCCATCCAATTTAAATTAGATACATAATGGATATTTACTTTTGAAGCCCCATTATTTTTTAACTTTTATCCCATTACGTCTATATTTTAAAGAAGTCAGAACTGAGCTCCGCAATAAAATGTTCACATTTCAGTTTAATCACTAAATAATAATCGATAGGTTTGCACATCCATTAGAAATTTCAAAATATGAATTACGTAATAGTCGAGTAGATATTCCCTGACCGACAAACTAGTAGATACTGCTGTTCCAGCTGACATTTTTCTTCTAAATTTGTTTTAATCACGTTCTATTGGGTCACGGTTTTTTTAAATTATATTATATTATCAAGTTAAAGCTAATATTGGACTACTCAGCAATGTACATCCACCATCTCGCGGGCGGAAATCCGACTCAAGACTTTAGGTCTCCCTTGTAAACACTGTAATGTGTTCTTTGATCTTCCGCCTCTCATTCACTCTTGAGGATTTCATGTCAGGACTTGCCTTCTGGCACAGTTCGGTGCTTTCCTCAATGTGTGTTCTATCCACATCCAGCGAATCTTCCTGATTTCTTCCTCCGCTAGATTCTCGTTTGTTCTCTCTCACAGTAGGTTGTTGCAAATAGTGTCTGTCCAAAATATGCGAAGTATTTTGAATAGACAACTGTTAATAAACACTCGTATCTTCTGGATGATGGCTTCCGTAGTTCTCCAGGTTTCCGCCTCATACAGTAGAACTATTTTGACATTTGCATTGAAAATTCTGATCTTAGTGTTGGTTGATAGTTCACTTCACTAGAATAATATTCCTAAAACACTTAAATGAGTTTCAATGATCAATATAACATTATAAATGAACACGTTTTCTGATGGAGTTTTATTCCCTAAGCTGGATTGTTTGGTTGTGCTCACAGAATAAAACTTCATTAAAATCATCCCTCTAAACTATAAATCTTCTCCACCATCATCTCATAACACGTTTTCTTCATATAAATCATTTTATCTATACATAAATGACAATTATATTTCAAAACTATCCGTATATATATAAAACGACTAAACAACAAAATATCATAAAGGAGAATATATTCATCTGATAATCGATAATGTTTTAGCTTAGCACAAAACATTCATCATTCAACGAATCACTGTCAGAATTGTTTCTCAACCTAATTAAAGGAAATAATGTAAAACTGATACTCTATTTTAAGTCATATGAGTTTAGAATGATGTAACCATGTGAAATTGATATCTAATTTTCAATGGAATCTTCTGATTAAAAGGCATCATCATAAGAAGTTACTTAATTAATGCTGATTTATTAATTTTCTTCTTAAGATTTGGTGTGTTCTTGTTTTGTTTCTTTTTTGTTTATAAAATTCATTATACTTTATCACTATGGGGTTGTGGAGATTGTTAAGTTTCAGATTGAGATCATGAACCGATTGATGTTAGACCACTGTTGGAAACATGAAAGCACTGAACTGTCATTTCGTCTTAATATGACACTCCTCAGCAATAGTCTAATATCAAATGATTCACGATCTCAATCATTATATTTTAGAATTGTTTGCTGACTTAATAATATCCTTGTTGATATGATATCATCAGTTGATTTAACAGTATAACTGGATTGTTTGAGATAAATTTCTCTTCTCAAGTATGAGACAGTATTAATCCGTCTCTTACAAATTCATTCAATATGTTAAATGTCAATGTAGTTGAAAATGCCCTTAAAAGTGGTAATTTCAGTCAGTCAGTCAGCTACAACGTAGGAACAGGCACATATATGCATCGATCCAAGTTGCCATACCTCATTAACACAACAAGATGGACACCGGATTCATAAATGTAGTTAATTCAGAGGTGGTTATATATAAAAGAAAAATTGCATATGAGGATATAGTACAGGAAGAAAGAATTAGTTCGTAGAAAGAAAGATATGATATGGTAATTTACATACGTAAATAATCTGAAATATACACTGAATGTCATTCAAATTACGGAATGTGTTTTCAGATTATTAAATATGTAGTTGGTATAAGGTTAGAATTATTTTCAAACAAGATTGATCTGTTATCATATCATGACCATACTATCCAGTTCAAAGAATGAAACACCATCAAGATCTGATATCATGTATAACTCACTTAATTATAATCAACCATAAGATTTTACTATGGCGCAAATTGCAATAAAATCTGAAGTGTATGAAAGAATAATTTGTCCCTCTCGAAATGCTCTCACATGGCCACGCGTATATAGCCTCTGCCAGAGAATTCCTACTCACTGCCTTGTCGTGGCGGGAGTGTTGTTTACGAACTGAAAACGACGAAAAGCGAATGTCCGGCGCTTTAACCGGGTTGGTGGACATTGATTCCAAACCAATGGACTCCAGTATCCTTCAGGAACAAATGACGTATGAACCAATCGTTGGCCACCGACTACCACGAGACTGCATCTCCTCGCGATGCTCCACTGCCTTGTGGATCAAATCCGTAGGTCGACGGCTCCGGGTGTGGCCGCCTAAGAAAACCACCTGCTTCGGTTTGGGCACCCAGGCAGTATCACAACCCTTACACATATCAAATGAGATCTCTGGTGCCTACTATCATGAGTTTTTCAGAACCTTAAAATTTAGGTTCTTTCATCACAGTTTATTTCTAGATACTTTATAAAGTCTAAAATCCTTTTTTGTTCTATTTCACATACTTCTCAAAGTTTTCATTACATGAGCAGAACAGGTTGTAAAAGAAAATTCGTTTGAACTTGTGTAGATCAAAAAAACTCTACAATAAAATGAGTCTAAATTGATAAATAATTATTACATAAGTTGATTTTTTGAAACATTAAAGTGGAAGAGAGTTTTATTTGTAAAATCTCAATGAATGAATTTTGAAGTAAATTCAACGTTTCATCTGGCAATCCGGTTCAAGCTTTTTTCCAAAGGAATATAATCAAACATCAAAATTATCGAATATAAATAGGTCCATGGTTCTCCGGTTTACTGTATACTGAATAGGTCATCTAATCCATGTTAACAATGTTTAAAGTAGGTATTTGCATTAAGTGTGTAAGAGACATGTGGTGTAAAACGAAACATGTTAAGATAACACATTATATGTGTACGCAAGTGGTGTGAGAAGTAATTTTTCTCATCGGTGAATGAAAAAAAATACATATAATTTTATATATGATATGAATCCCAAATGTCACACACGTTGATTGGATGATCTACTCAGTATACAGTGAACCGGAGAACCCTGTACTTATTTATATTTGATAATTTTGATGGTTGATTATATTCCCTTGGAGAAAAGCTGGAACCAGGTTGCCAGGTGAAACTTTGGATTTACTTCAAAATATATTCGCTGAAATTTTACAAATACATTCTTTCTCTTTAACGTCTCACATCAAGTCGGCGCGCAAATACAGTGAATCTGTTCGATCAAATTTAGACCAACGTTCGCTTTTTCTGCTCTTGATGTGAGCGAACAGAATGATATGTATTTCCCGTCAGTTGTTTATAACCTATAATCTTTTAAAATCATAATTATTAAAAAGATTCACATTCTCTGTATTAATGCAGCATAGATTCCAATAACATTAATTAAGATTAAACAAAGCAGTTCTAAATAAGTTCGATAAGTGAGAGAAAATTCTGGAACATCAATATAGTAACTAAAAATCATAGGCTTCACAATCATTTAATTCTTGAGCTAATTAGCTGAACTAGTTTATCGATGATTCATAGTAACGGGAGTTAAGATAAGGCAGTTTGAAAACATTTTGTAATAAAATGAGTTGTAGGGGGAGATTTATGACAATTACCTTTTGAATTCATAAATTGGGTCTGAGGTGTTCAATTACTAAGCTCCAGATAAGTTTGAAAAGCTAAAGTTCTATTATCTTTTAATCATCTTTGAAGATTTGGATTTGTCAACTTGACATCTTGTGTCAGAGAGATGTCTTGATATTGAACTGTTGAAAGCTTATAATTTTTTTGAACTCAAGAATTTTTGGAATATGTTGTTAGAATTGAATGTAGGCGTTTCTTTCTGTTCTGCCGATGTAACTGTTTTAGCAGATCTAAGTAACGTGACGCGCACAATGAGCGGTAGCATAAAGAGGGTACCTAACAATCTTTGATTGGGATGTTGCAATATTTTTCGTGTATTTTATAAGGTCTTCTTCATCGTAAGTTAAATTTTATTTGAAGTAAATCAATGTACCAAAATACTTTGGGATAAAATACTCACCTTTCACTTTGATTAAAATTCGGAGTTTTAACTCACCTTGAGGTTGGAATAGCTGGTAAACAATTTTATGCCTAGTCATTTGACAGATGAAACAGATGTCAATAATTACACATTAACAAATCCTACACGACAAATGTTTTAGTAAAAAACGAATATCTAGTAGTCTACCAAAAAATCAATCAGTTATATCCATAGTCAGCTAATAGATCTGCAACAGAACTACTGTTTATTACAATTAGACAAAATTTAGTATAAGTAAAGTATTTTGCATTCCTAACTTAATCAATTCTGAATGTAAATAAAATGATCAACTTAAATATTCATGAAACTCGATCTCTTTCAAGTTTTTGTGAAGTAACTATAGATAAGATTATAGGCAGAGATGGATGATGGCTAGAAAGGGGATCTAGGATGCATGTTTCGTCCTATTTGGGACTTATCAGCTGGAGTGAACATTAACTCTAGGATGCAGTCATATCCAGCTGACGAGTCCCAAAAATAATGAAACACGCATCCTGGATTCCATTGTTAAGCACCATTCATCTGAGCTTATAAAACTTGTGATTCAAAGCAATATTAAGTCAATCCGCACAGGATGCACATATGATAATAAGATACTGATCAATTGTAGTCCTAAACATCATTTAGAAGATTCAAACAACCAATACAAAAATGAATTATGAATGAGATTACCAAAGCCAGTGAGAAAGCATGTACGAGGATACAATAAAATATAGAGAACTCGAATAGTAATGTTTTGTTGTAAGTTGCATACTTTGACTTATCTAAGTAAATTGTTCATCAAATAGTTGACACCTTCAATGTTTATTTGTGTACAATACATCAAAGTAGTTGAATGGATTTTCTTTCAAAATACTAAACATTGAATATCATTTAAACCATCACTCATAGGACTAATCTTCCTTAATTTTCATTGTATCCTTTCATTTATCCATTTGTTTATTAAGTTGCCTTTTTTATCTCCAAGTTTCCTACTATTAATTCAATGTTTGTTGTTTAACATTTAACTTAGATCGGACTCTGATCATAAAAAGTAAGTGCCATTACATATCAGATGAACAACTAGTTCATTATTAAATGTAGTATATAACTGTAAAAACGTTGTATTCAATACAACGATTTATAAGTTAAGTAAATTTTCAATTATGTGTCAGTCTTCAGGTAAGTAGGATTCAAGAGTTCAATATCTAAATAGCTAAGTAGTTACTAAAGCACTTTGTAAAAATCAATAATATATAGACTGATTTCGATCGATGTCAAAGAACTGGTAATTTTATAGCACCACACATGCAATTGAGTTTGTTCTCGTTTGATTCAGTCAAACATATATTCATTCTGCTAGCTTTATCATTAGTTGCTTAATTTATTCGATGATCCATTCATATATATATATATATATGTACATTTAAACCTACACTCACTACTCTATCGATACGCTGACTCACTCATTTGCCTCTCTGCCTTGTGGTCTGAGTTATCTGTTAATAAAACTGTAGTCGCTGCTTCTCTTTGCCTTCTGATTTCGAACACCGTTGAGGATTATATGATAACGGTTACGAAGGTGATTGGTCAACGAAGCACAGCTACTACAATTTGTATTGGAACTCTAACTAACATTCACTAAGAAATAAACGAAGAATTGTGAAGACAGATAAGAGTGTCCTGGTTGTACTCTGTTGAACAAGTTACACTATGAGTATCAGCTTAAGTAATTTGACATTGTTTTGAATACTTCAAAAGTAACATTAGAGAACATTCGTCTAAATTTGAACGAATAGTTTCACAATATTTGGGCGCCGTGTTAATGTGAGACTTTAAAAATGGAAGAAAAAGCTTGGACCAGATTGCCAAATGAAACGTTGGATTTACTTCAAATTCTTCCGCCGAGATTTTACAAATATATTCTTCCTTTTTAATGTCTTAGTGACTATAGTTTGAATCCTGACGGAAGTATCAGTTTTTTTTAGGATTGTAGAAACACCTTGATGACTAGTGGCATCTGGAATGAAACTCAAGTTAGAAAGAGGTCCATACTGTCTTCTTCCAACTATCTAACATTGGAAATTTGAAATTCCACATTCCAGAAAATATTTAACGCTGAATGCTTAACTATTCATTTAGGTTAACTCAAAGTTTTATGTGGTTTGAAATTAATTTTATCGTTATCTCTGTTAACATAAACATGTTTTGATACTTTCAAACATTAGGAAGTAAAAGTCATGGAATTAGTAAGTTCTTACACTTTTGTTGATAAAAACATGTTGTTTTGAATAGCATTTATTACAGTTAGTATTGTATAATGTATACAATGAGAATAGACGATATAAGGTACATGTTAAATAAATTACCACCTTTATTTCTAATACACGACAAGCACATGAGTATCAAAACACTTTTAGAATGGAATCGTATAAGAACATAGAGATTATATGTTTCAATTCAGAAGAGCTAAGGCATATTCTGGTAGCCTGTTGCAAGGACTTGTGACCGCCGATTAGAGAGCAGTGACTTATTGATCGGATCAATGACGCGTAAAACACGTGCGAGCAGCCTAGAGTTCTGATTGGTCCTTCTTCCTGCCTAGCCCAACCAGTTGAGTCCAGAACATAAGTCTCAGCCTCTGCGATATGAATCATTTATTTCAAACATACTCGGTAGCCTTTAACGACATATTCTAAGTTGGCTGTTATTTTCACTTAAATCAATCGAATTGTAAGAAATAATAATAAAAGAATTTGCAATGTAAATCAATATTCAGTCAAATGTTGATAGACGCAACTGAAAATTTATGAATTATGTATTAAGTAACGTCTACTGTAATTATTTCCTCCTTAATAGTCGTCAACCCTATCTCTGACAAACATTTTGTATACATTTACTTTTTCTCACAGTATCAAGATTTAGTTTCATTCTGGGTTTAATAATGAAAAGGATTTTCAATAAAGTGAATTACATGTTGAATTTGTTGTCCCACCACTTCAACGTCCTCATATAATTAAAAAGGCTAATTTCACATTCTTGTGTTTAAGTATTATTATACTTTAAATTAAAAGGTAGGAATGGTGCTTTTGAAGTGAAAGCATATTAAACTTTGAAAAACTAATTGATATTGTGGTGTAGGTTACTTATATCCAAATAAGTAGTATATAACGGTATATTTACAACTGAAGAACATCTGGAACTCAAATCAATTGTCAACCAACAACAAAGTCAGAATTTTCAATACAAATGTCAAAACAGTTCTACTGTATGAGGCGGAAACCTGGAGAACTACGAAAGCCATCATCCAGAAGATACAAGTGTTTATTAACAGTTGTCTATTCAAAATACTTCGGATATGTTGAGCAGACACTATTAGCAACAACCTACAATGGGAGAGGACAAACCAGAATGAAGCGGAGGAAGAAATCAGGAAGATTCTCTGGAAATGGATAGCACACACATTAAGGAAAGCACCGAACTGTGCCAGAAGGCAAGCATTCACATGGAATTCTCAAGCCCAAAGGAAAAGAGGAAGATCAAAGAACACATTATGCTGGGAAATTGAGATGGACACGAGAAAATGAACAAGAATTTGATGAAATTGGAAAGGAAGAAATAGGACAGAATGGGTTGGAGAATGCTTGTCGGAGGCCTATGCTCCTTCAGGAGTAACAGGCGTAAGTAAAGTAAGTAAGTAAAGTATATAACGGTGGACAGGCATAGAATGTATTTTAGTAGATCGATAAGGAAAGAACAGGAACGGAGAACGGGAACGGGACACAATTGGTATGAATTGCATGAACAATGAAATCTGAGACAATGGATTGATGTTTGCAACAAGAGCAGTCAACTTTGAGATGATGGATTGATATTTTGCAAATTGACTATTTACTATATGGTCCTCAGATTTCATTGAGATGCTCTGTAATTTTGAACTCAAATACATTCGATTGTCCCTACTCTTGTTCTTGTTCACTACAATATCACTGTAAAGTTGAAATTTGTCGGGATGCCTATTAAACACTAATATAATTATGTGAATAGCTTTGGTAGAAAAGCAAAAAAACTTATTTCCTAAAGTGGATTAAGCAAATCCTGATGGGAAATATAACATAATAGTCAATCGACAATCGTGTGTGAACTTCTATTTAACAACTTATAAACTAATGTAATCTGCCTACCCAAGGTCCCCTGATTTTCTATGATTCTCCAACTTACATTAGTTCATGACCAAAAAAAAATCATATAGTATCTCATTTATCAAGTAAAGATGTATATAATATGCTATCACTTTGTTTGGATGGTATTTACGGTAGATGACTGACTAACCAAAATGAGGTATATGAAATCGTATTGGAAACTTCACATCGACTACTTGAACTGAAAAGACATTGTTATATATAAATTTAACCGTATAGCGACTGTTACTATAGTTTCATAGGTTTTGATTTCTTCCTAAGCAGCTTTCTGTTTTCTCGGAACCATGATCATTAAATACTTATAAATAACTATTCTTATTCATTTTATTTTAGATGAAAATGAAACGTTTTTTTACAATTTTTATCATTAGTTATTTTCTAATTAAAGTTAATTATTATTAAAATACATTCATTTAAGTAAATGTAAAACGAAGTTTGTTTTTCCTTACAAGCTCTATTTTATCAAAACTTTGTATATTAGAAGTGGTCTAATGGTTAAGCGCTCACGAGCGAAACTGATAGGTCCTGAGTTCGAATCATGCGGGGGACGGGATCTTGAGTGCACACTATTGAGGAGTCCTATACTAGGACGAAATGGCCGTCTAGTGCTTCCAGGTTTTTCATGGTGGTCTAACCTCAATTGACTCCTGATCTCAACTAATGATATATTAGAAGTATAGAACACAATAGCATTCTCATAAGTAAACAATACAGACATATTATTTCGACGTAAATCCTTCATTTTTAAAAAAGATATCAAGCCTAAAATTTGTAGTGGTCGGTATTCGCGATATAATCCTTAAACTTCGTAAACAGTTCATCCTGATAACCGTTATTAGATAATGTCCCCAACCGTGTATAAATCAAAAGATGAGTATGAATTGTTGATCGTGTTTACTATTACACGATGCACAGACTCATAAAACCACAGACACATGAAACAAGAAAGAAAGACTAATGCCGGAAAGCAAGCGTGTGAATTCGCGAGTTAAAATGAATAGGATTAAGATTTACATCGAATCCATTAAGAGACTAAAATTAAAGCTAGCAGAATAAATATGTGCGTAGGTAGTAAGCAATGTTGAAGCATACATATTCATACAAACACAACAATAATAAAGGTACAATGGTATCGATAAGTAGTTATTGTACGAATGACTCTGTCCTTTAAATAAGTAAACTAATGGGCTTAACCCAATTAAATGTGAACAAAGTCAATCGCACATGAGCCGCTATAACTTTAACATACCATAGATAAGTTATACGCTGAATGAACATTCTTGATAAAAATAATTCAGCCACACATCTACAGTTTTGTATTCTATGAATAATCATTACTCGAATGAAAAATCCCACTAGTCCAAAAAGTTAAATGAAGCATCATTAATCATTCACTGTAAAACAACTCATTTAGAGAGAGTATTAACCTAACAGGTTTTTAAATATTATCTGCTTAAAAAGATTGTTTTTGAATCACATTAATGCGCATGACGATGTTTCGTTTTGATGTAAAACTTGAGTAGCTGAATAAATCAGCTTATTTCCTGATAAAGCTACACTTAATATATGTACCAAGTAATTATTCTATAACCTTAGCTTCACTCATTTGATGCATCTCTCCAAAGTTTGTGCTTTACAGCAAAAAAACTGTCTTCCAACATTTTCTTAACTTGAAATCACCTGACACTTAAAAACACTAGTTACCATAGGAAATAATATAAAGCCCTAATGCTATACATGGTCAACGGTTGTTAGTTGTTAACAATTAATGTTAGCGACTTAACAATGACTGAAGTTATGAGAAGACCACGTCAGAAGAACTGTCGTTTCTGCAGCTGATAAAACTGTTGTGTTTGAAGACTGAGAGTGGAATCAAAACACTGTAATTATCAGGCCATACTGAATATAACTCTATAAGAGCAGATTACAATGAAGACCGGATATATTTGTCTGAATAACACAATTAAACTGGTAACAATACCCAAAAACGTTACAATAAAAGCTAACAGGTAATTAACATTGCTGACCGTTTTCTATACTATACAGATCAATAATCAAAGCCAGGCGCCACGAGATAATGTTTTTTTTCATGAACTAATGTCTTCTGGACGAACTTACCCAAATATAACCGAACGTTAAACGTTGTGAATAGTATCAATGAAGGGGACACCTTGACAGTCGCAGTCTTATAGCAACCTAGCCCGTCTCATCTTTACCTGGTGGCCAGGCTATCTTAATTTTCTAGGTAGTCTTAGAGAGCAAACGTCTTTGCCATGTTCATTATATTCTCTGATTATTAACCGATCATGTTACCTTCGTTACGACAATCACTAACGGTATAATATTTTCGGAAGTCGGAATGAAGTTGTTAGGAGAAGTAATTAGAATTTGGTTTATGGATGAAGCTTGAGTGATCTATTGACTTGAACTCTTCAAAAAGAATGCTAAATCGAGGTGGAAACTTTTTTGTGATGACAAATGGCAAATAGTGACAACTGTAAGTATGTATTATTATCACATACTTGAAGACTTATTCCTACTCATTTTAATTTTTCCTTAGCTTGGAATATGTAACCTATTAACCCACATTGCTAAACCAAGTACACTTAGTTTGAGATCAGAGTAGCATAAGAATCATGATAAAAAAATGGCTGTAGGCTAAACTATAAATGCATGAATGAGTAATCTAAATGACCCTAAAAAATCCAAGCTATCCAAACAATTAAAATGTAGAAAATATGAGTGAATCCTTCAGAATGATGGCTCAGGATTCACGTTTAGTATTCTAATGTTTGGTCTCAAAAGAATACAATTAGAAGATTGTTTTGACGCAACTAATGAACATCTCTGTGTGGATTATCAATGTATTGATCACGAACTGATATTACATTACTTGCTTACGTCTGTTACTCCCGAAGGAGCATAAGCCTCCGACCAGCATTCTCCAACCCACTCTGTCCTGGGCCTTCTTTTCTAGTTTCATCCAATTCTTGTTCATTTTTCTCATGTCTATTTCAATTTCCCAGAGTAATGTGTTCTTTGGTCTTTCTCTTTTCCTTTGGCCTTGAGGATTCCGTGTCAAGTCTTGTCTTGTGACACAGTTCGGTGCTTTCCTCAATGTGTGTCCTATCCATTTCCAGAGAATCTTCCTGATTTATTCCTCCGCTAGATTCTGGTTTGTCCTCTCCCATTGTAGGTTGTTGCTAATAATGTCTGGCCAACATATCCGAAGTATTTTGAATAGACAACTGTTAATAAACACTTGTATCTTCTGGATGATGGCTTTCGTAGTTCTCCAGGTTTCCGCCTCATACAGTAGAACTGTTTTGACATTTGTATTGAAAATTCTGACTTTGTTGTTGGTTGACATATGATTTGAGTTCCAGATGTTCTTCAGTTCTAGATATGCTGCTCTTACTTTGCCGATCCGCGTCTTCACAACTGCATCAGTCCACCATGTTCATCAATGATGCTGCCCAGATATGTCAAGGATTTCACATCTTTCAAATCTTATCTATCAAATGTGGTTGGATTGATGCATGTTGTGTTGTATCGGAGAACCTTGCTTTTCCCTTTGTGTATAATGAGACCTACTGCTGCCGAGACTGCTGCCACACTGGTCGTGCTCTCCTGTATTTGTTGTTGCGTTTGCGATAGAAGAACCAGATCATCTGCGAAGTCTAGGTTGTTCAGCTGCATCCTCGATGTCCACCGTATCCCGTGTTTCCTTTCAGATTTTGATGTCTTCTTAATCCAGTCGATCACCAAGAGAGAGTGAAAGGGTGAGAGTGAGCAACCTTGCTAGTTTATACTTAGAACGAGTATGTCAATTTTCCTCTATGCACGATTTCGCAGTTCAACCCCTCACAGGAATTCCGCATGATATTGAATATCTTCTCAGACACGCTGTAGTGTCAAAGAAGCTTTCATACTGTTGCCTTGTTCACGCTATCAAATGTTTTCTCGTAGTCAATGAAGATGATGCGGAGTGATTAGCTCCATTCAACTGATTGTTCCATAATGATCCGTAGTGTTGCGATTTGGTCGGCACACGATCGATCCTTCTACAATCCAGCCCGTTATTCTCTAATTCGGGGGTCTGCAGAGTCCTTCATTCTGTTTATCAACACCCTGTTGAGGACTTCTCCTGGTATTGAGAGAAGAGTGATGCCTCTGTATTTCTAAAGCACTTGCTGAGATCGCCTTTCTTTGGTATCTTAGTCAGGTATGCTCCTTTCCAGTCTGTTGGCACTTGTTCTTCATCCCAAATCTTATTGAAAAGAATTCGGAGTATCCTTGCGTTTACTGCTACGTCTACTTTGAGTGCCTCTGCCGGAGTGTTATTTGGTTATGCTGCTTTGCCGCACCAGATTTGACTGATCGTCTTGCTGATGTTGGTGGGCGAACATCGATTGGGAGGTCCGTGGTCGCTTCTTCAATGTTGGGTGTGTTCAGTAAGACTTGTCGATTCAAGAGTTTCTTGAAGTGCACTACCCACCTGTTTTGCTGTTCTTCAATGATGGTGATTACTTTGCTCTCCTTGCATTTCACTTTTCGTTCCGGTTTACGATAATTTCCAGCTAGTTTCTTTATTGTGTCATACAATTTTCTCATGTTTCCTTCTCTTGCAGCCTTTTCCGCCGTCACTGCTAAATCTTTCACATATTTACGTTTGTCAGTTCTGATGCTCCTCTTCACTTGTTTATTTACTTCTGTGTATTCAGTTTGTTCCTTGGCTTTCTCTGATCTTGTTCGGCTGGCATTGATTGTTGCCTTCTTGTTCTTCCTTTCTTGAATCTTTTCCAGTGTATCAACAGTGATACAATCCTTGTGGTTGTGCTTCTTGTGGCCCAGAATCTGATGACATGTTGAAGTGATTGCCTCCTTGACCCCCTTCCAGTTGTTGTGTAGTGTGATTCAATGAAATCTACTGATATTACATATGATTCAATAATGATTCATAACCATAAATGTGAATTAATTTCAACCAACAACCTGGCTAGTCTGTTCATAAATTATAGTCTTATCTTTTCACCAAATCTAATGGCTAGCAACAATGTTGTTTCGAACGTGGCTTGCGACCAAATATCTAGAGTAGAAAACTATATTTTCGGTCTCCTACCAGTTGTCACTGTGGACCCGAATTTCTTTATATTAGTATGAAGAATTATTGTCACATGGCTACAGCTGCACAACTAATTCCGAAATTATTGTAATACAAAACAACATTCGTACCTCAACTTGAAATTCCCTCCTGTACTCTTTACCAAGCATATATGTGACACCATGTAAGATATATTACAGGACTAAATCCGATAGAAATGAATGTATGCGTAATGCAATATCAAATTTCAGTGCAAACTAACAAAAGTAATGTTCCCAACATTTTAAATCCATCGTAGGGATTATTGTGCAGTTGTTTCTTACCAAGACAATTTGTTTCACTGTCGACAGGTGACAGATTATTTTGATATGTGAGCAGTTGGCATAAAATGATTCGCAAATTGACTAGTGGCTTGTTAAAGCTGATTTCTTATACTTCAGTTGGATAATAAAGACTGAATACGGAATTTGATAGTTCGGTTTTACTGTTTATTACTCAATATGGAGAGCAAATTGGACTCTGGCTTATTCTTTTTGACCATACAAACATTTCAGCCTTCAATAAGGAGAAATAAAGAAAGCATTGCATACATACATAAGGAAGTTGATAACTACTATCCATAATTTCATTATCCGCAAAATAAGTTATTGTTTAGCACTTGAACGTCTACCTATGGATGTAATGTCAACCACCTCCTAGAAGAGATTGATGGAGTTATGTTGATTTGTTTAGTTACGGAACGTACGAACTAATTCAGTGGTGGGTGGAAATGATGCTACCCTAGAAACAGGATATTGTAGAATGTCTAGTCCTCGACAGTCATTTATGCATAATAAACATTACTCATCTGGTATGTAAAGGTTATCTACAATACTACCGACCGTTCATCAAAATATTTTGTTAGACCCTTCCCTTTTTTTATATATTATGCCCAGTAACAAATGATTCATTGAGGAATAATTACTTTGATTATGATTAATCTTCTTACTTCCAATTCATAATCGATATATAATTATATTATTATTTGGATGTGATTTTCATACCATTGTTTTTGAGGAAAACGTTTTATGATGAGATTTTATTAAAAGTATGGTATTTCCGTCGTGGGATGATTTTAATGTAGGACGATCGGACGATCACATCACTCAAAAAACAATTGAGTGTTTTTCGCTACTTAATTAATTCTACAGGGAATCAGTTAAATTATTAATTTCATCTCAGGGCTCTTGAGCACCTATTTATGTCTGACTTAAAACCCGTGTTTTGGTATCAAGTGACTTTTTAGAATTATGGTCTACTATGATATTAGTAGTGCTCTAATAATAGACCTAATCCTACAATTGTAGATTTGTCATGATATAAGGAGTGGCCTGCTTGATCATCTGCGCTACCTGTTCCTGCCATTTAGATATTTCAACAAATTATCTATTTTTGTTTGTTTTAATAGATCATTATGTCTATTCATCGCATAACCTATTCTGCTGCGTTTCTGAAAAGTTTACAACCTTTCGTTGTCAAAGTTACAAAAAACTCAATAAGAGACAATGTGGTTGCTGGCAATATACAACGAAAAGAATGCACATTATTCAGATGTTCATTTACTGAACTGCTAACATCTAACCGGCAATCACTCAATATTTATCGCTAGGACCGACCAAGAAGAAAGAAACGGAAACTTGTTGAAATACTTTGTGCTGAGAATTCTATATTGTACAATAAATATAATATTGAATAAAGCTGATAATAATAATATAACTGTTTAAATTACAAGATCTTACGTGGAAGTCACATCATCGTCTACACCATCCGATTGCATCGTAACAATCACCAATACGTGATGAAGAACAAGCTTAGGCTAGAGATGGAACAATGTATTTAGTATGAATATAAGACATATGGTTAAATTCAGCAGGGAACACGCCCGCAAGGCCGAGCCATGCCACCCGACCAATTCGAATTGATTCAATTTGTTGTTCCTGCCTTCTCCATCGTTGGGTTTTTCTCCGCGTTCAATGTCGAATATCTATTACCCTAATTGTCCCGTGTTCAGCTTTGATGATTGTGTAGTTAAGACCCAGTGCCACTACAACTTAAAAGCGCTTCAGCAGATCTTTCATTTAACAATGGTGGACGGCATTAACCCTTGCAACTTGTCTTTCTATTGGCAAGCGCAGTTGTCGAATTTCGGTGAAAATTGATATTAACTCACTAGTTTCCGAGTCTCATATATTTCTCGCGCAACTGTGAATCAGGAGGCAATTTATCCATTCTAATTGAGTCATATTTTGGCTTTGTTGCTTATTCATTTATCAGCCTTGACTGCTGTTATATGAGCGTATGTGTATGTACACTTCTAACCCCATTTATCACATGTCTGTAGCTTAATTTTGTGTGCCTATAAATATTGATTAACGTTTGGTCAAGTGAAGTTGGCACACATGCCTTCTCTACTGCGCGGTATTTCGCTTTGCTCTTCTCTTTGCTTCTCCGATATTTTGTCTGGATCAAAGATTGGATGGAATATCCATATTCGAAATTCATTCTCGTATTTGACTTGTTTAATTCCGTTATGGACTAACGCGATCTAAGTCGATGATTATATACGGAGATTGACGGTATATATAACTCAATAGCAATCAAAAGTTTTCCCGCGATCACCATTTCTGGCCACAAATTGTTAAACTTTAAACGTAAATCTCAGTCATCTATTTTCGGCTTAAAGGATAGCGTGTATGATAACCACTACCGGTACAAACTCACTGTATAGTCGTATAAGTTGTTCCATCGGTTATAAAAGCGAGCGGCCTTCCTGACCTGTCGTTATTACCGATTTTGTTATGGGCCATAATTATTATAATATTGAGAGGATAGTGTAGTGCCTCGGAAAAGTCAGGAAGGTTTAGCCGTTCCTCATTGGCTACAATGTCTTCGATCACATTTTGATGAACATGAAGATGACACAGGCATTTGGAGTTTCGACAACGCTTTAACCAGTAACACCTTCTAATATGAAGCGTACCCACCAAGTGAAATCAAAAGACAGAAATGGGGAGGTTCGAAGATATATTAGATAGGCTAACAATATATCGTGAATCGATTGATCTAATCTGTCTAGCGATCGCAGAGGATGTTGATCACGGCGTTCCCACTCATGATCTGGTGCAGCTGCATGACCGAGCGCCTTCAGCCAGGTGAGTCCACTAAAACTAATGTGGCCAGCATCCAATGTCGAAGACTTACAGAGCTATTTATTGTGGGGATTTATTTACCACCACACGACAAAGGATGTCAAATAAACTGAATCAGAATAATAATGTTATGTGAGGAGTGAGTACATAGTCTGAGTCTGTTCTATATATGTATAAAAGAAATAGCCTTCCAACCGAACAACAGAAATCATTGAGCCATGATTTTCCTGTTTTCGCGAAAATGAGGATTAATAGCGGATTTCTAAACGTATCGTAAGCTCAGAACAAATAAATTGTCAGCTTATAAACAACTTTCCGATCAGACCATCGGCAAACATAAACCAATTCCCGTTCCATATACACTGAATCGACTTAGTGATCTTCATTGCTAGCGCTTACACAGGACTCGCAGATTACTCTCTTCTCTAAACTAACAATCTTTTACAATGAAGTATTTTCAGTAGAGTGACTCAAGACAATATAAAGTTAGCTACCAAATTATCAAAACTTTGAAAGGAAACATACCTTCATGCCTTAAACTGTTATTGATAGTCAAAGTCATTTTGTTTATATTGCTCAATAAACATTAGTAGATTTAAGTCTATCTCTCAAAAGTGTAACGTGTTCTTGTAGGAATGAAGAAATTTTTGGATACTACTAATACTAAGCTCAATAGGGCTTTGCAGGTTTGCTTTGAATTTGAAAATTAGCTACCTTTTGTCAAGAAAACAAATGAAGTCATAGGAAGAGCTGAAAAGACGGAATTCGATGAGGAATTTGTTTCACTATTAAAGCAAGCAGAATCCACACATGAAGCATCTAAGCACATTATGGAGGCCATCGAGCAGTGGATCAACCCATGTGTCTGTAAATTGCATTTTATCGACAACCTAATTATTCTTTATTCACAGTAAAGAAGTTCGATGATGTCGGTCAGTTCACTTTAAAAACTCATTTTATCCTTATGAAATGACTTTTCAGTTAACTTAAGATAAGTGTATGCTGTGTGTCTTTTTTTGTACGGTGTTTCTTTTCATATTCTACTTACATGTTTATCGCCCGCCTTGATCTCTGAAAAAGTAGTTTCAGTACACAAGCACTTAATGATAATTTTGACTTCGCTAGAATGTTAAAAGTTTGATTCCTTTATGAGTAGTATGCATATAGACCTCATTTATTTGCTGTATATAAACTTTTAAGCTGTAAATCTGGTGTTATATTATTTCTCTCTTTGGTTATCGATCTGACTGCAGGTGCCATTTTCCAAGGTTATTTTACAATAAACAATTCCCCCAGTATGACCAACCCGTCGCGTTTAGAATAGACTTCCTTTGGTATTGGTGGAAGCTCTTAGTTTCGGTCCATTCACTACTGAAAAAGCTGTTACCGCCGCAACTGATTCCTGACTGCCATGTTTTGTTTTGTTTACATAGATATTTGTGTAGCAAAATGATATTCACTTTACGACGTAGCTTAAAATCAACGTAACTTGTTGGATCTGTAAAATACTCACTAAAGACCACACGGAAAGGTAAATCCGGAAGTGAAATTTTTCTTTCACTTTCATTTCATAAAAATAACATTGGATGGTGCTATTTTGAACTTCCCAAGGTTATTGTGATCCAGTCTGTCTCGAAATCCCCTCGAAAGTCTTCAAAAAGTATAAATATCTTCCTAACTTTATGTTTTGTTGAAATCGTCAGAAAATACATATATCTAAACAGTGTGTTAAAATGAAACTCATGAATACAAATATGGTTGGTCGTGGTTCATCGTTTTGCATCAAGATGCAAGAAGAACATCTTGACAAATATGAGCCTGATGGCTGAGTTGATATTTTCTGTCTGATAGAAGATATACAGTTAAATATATACATCCACAATTTGACCTCATGATATAATCCAAACCTACAGAGACGTAACCTTTAGAGTTAGAAAAAATACGGTTTTCAAAAAACTGAATACAACATCTATCCATCATATTACATTTCCCCCTGAAAGTGCTCAACAGTGAAAGTTTTGGTGTTCCAGTACTGACAAGTAATAAAGCACTATGTTAACTGATAGCGTATGTACTAATATTCGACTTCTGCTCCGGACTTCGAACCACTTCATCAATGAAGGTTAAGGCCTCTAATTAGTAGTACTAATGACTTTTATACTACTAACGTACGAATCGCCTAGTATGTGAATTCACATGCCTGAGCACTGCAATATTTATCATATTTTGTCAAAATTTAAATCAAATCATTGAATCTATACTTCGTTATTTCATTTAGCTTGCAAAGTAGAAAGTATGGTCACAGATAATAAAAGTTATTGGCTAAAGGTTCCTGCAAAGTTACCTGCCGAACATCTTGGGGATACACTACTCAACGTAGCTGTTAGTGTCGGAGCTGGTACTGCATATGGTAAGTCCGTAAAATATAGCGACGAAAAAGACTCCCTACTTTACCTACAACGTTTAATTAAACACAACTTCTGTACAATAATAGTTACAATATCTTTCTTCTTTCCTGAACTGAATAACAAATAGGCCTCTTAAAAATGCACACACATTTCGAATTTATGGTGGAAAAAGTATCGTCTACTTCTTTCCGGCCCACCAATTCACCGAAGCGGAGGTTCAATAAATGAATAAAAAGTAAATATAACCTACTGAAATGTGTACAGTGTCTTGTATCGCGACGGCCAAATATATATCATTATATTATTAGTGGTGACAGTTGGCATCTCAGATAAAACAGGTACTGTTGATTTAAATCCCTATCATGGTTTACGAGATGCATGTGTGTGTAATATTTAGTCGTTATCACAGCTCAATAAGAGTTTATCACTTTCTACTTTATACGTCTGCCCCACTTTTTTCTATGCACCTATGGTAGAATCACTTTCTCATGGAATTGAAGGTATCTTTTACTCTTCACTAATAAAAGATAGAGGACATTAGAAGTAGTTGAATCCATATAAACTTGGAAAAAAATGTTGTCAAATGTGTCACGAACGGTCAGTGGTAATAATTCTTGCCATTTTATAACCATATTAACTAGCGTGAAAGATAAATAATTTGGTGATGATTTTTATCACAGATTGAAATTTTCAGACACTGTATTTAGGTAAAGTTGACATGATAGCAATTTTTTGTTCTACGTTATAATATGATCTAAGATATGTTCGTTGATTGTACTTGATGATTTAGTTGAGTTTTTCAGAATAAACCTGGTTTTTCAAATGAAGAGTTATGTAGCTTAATAAGTATTGCAGAACTGGCCATGTATTCATTAAACTTTTCAATCAAAAATACATAACAATTTTTGTAAAATCAGTTGAGAATCAATATGAATAAGGCCACCTTACTTTATTTGTTAAATTAAAGTCGCCATGCCATCTTAATGAGCCTTTCTAATACAAAACCTATACAGGTTCAATATTGCGAAGCAAATCATGCAAGTATTTCAACCAAAAACAAACACTTAAACTAATATGAGTTAACTAATAGATTAATATCAAGGACTAGTGGTTACAACTTTCCAATATTCTAAACGAATGACTTTTGCTAATGTGTATGCAGTTGCGTTACATTTAAGTGACCGCAAATTCCCTTATGAGCTGCATTTTTACAAACCGTGGTAAAATATAGAATCAAACAGAAATACAAGTTTAGAATTAATAAGGAGTATGGCTTTCAATGCTCAGTAAAATTTGCTAATATTTCACGATAAATAAATTTTTATAAAGACAAATCAATAAGTTCTCCGGAAGTAAATTAGATTTCGGGAATAATAATTACAGTATTCATAAACAATTATACCTTCAATACATTAATAATTACTAAACTTTTTTCAGTCTTTATTTCAAGCAGTTAATGATCCTAGTTATCTAATCCATACATAGTAGGCGTTTTTTCAAAAAAGTAATTGTTGCCGTCATGTGATCTGCAATCTGCATTGTGAATCGTTTTCACTGAAGCTATGGTATTGATTACTTATTACTTGATAAATCCAGGGTTTGAACGGGTTTTTTCGACAGGGATGTTGCCAGGTCAAAGTTTGCTCTTCACAGTATTTATTCCAGTAGCGTAGTGCTACTACTAAGTTTTTTCATAGTGAGTGTTGCTCAATGCACAGTTCAATCATTGGTGAATGATTGGTGAGTTGGTAAGTGAATGTGCTATGGGCAGCTCTGAATCAATAGGCTTCATCATTAGCTAATCTGAAAACTCTTGTAAGGATAAAGTTTTGATGTTTAATTATGAGCATTAGATCCTACGTTTTTCAATGATGAAAAATACCGACGGATAAATGACGCTTAGTTTTATCATATAGTCGATTGATGTATACCTTCAGTACCAAGTTTTTGATCTAAGCACTCAAATGAATCGTCATCAAAAGATATTACAATCGGCCGGTCGATAAATTATCTAGTTAGTTAACATTTTTTGGAATAAAATATTAAACAGAGATGAAACATGGTTGGGATTCATTTAAAAAAGTCAATGAGAATATACAAATTTTAAAAACAGCGTTTACTAGGCAATTTGATAATAACCTGAGTTTCGAACTTAGTTATCACACATCATATCACAAAGCATTACAAACTGGAGAATATTTATTCATCACAATTCCTTTTAAAAATGAACAATGATGTACATGCTTGTTCTCTTCTGCTAGGTTGGATTTTTTAAAGTTCTGTTCAGTACACCAACTTTTACAAAGTAGGATACTAAATGATTAGAAAAAATACGTTTCAATAAATGCTGATAGCCGTATTATTCTCGATTTAATCTACTTATTGTGATCAGTGCTGAGAAATAATTTCATATACACAAAATTTATTACATCTGATAGATGTTCTCCATTCATTCGAACATGTAAACTAATGGGTACACTATGAACCATAATGAATTTTTTTGGGCTTTATGTACAGCTGGAACGTTTAAATAATATGAGGTTTTTTGATGGCATTATTTTACATTCATTCTAGATTTGAGTTGTTCATTTTCAGTACAATCTCCGAAAAATATTATAGTAATTTAGTTGCTCATTGAAAAAGTCATTTCTCAACAGAAATCATAAAGTTTACATGGTATGGTTTACTTGAATCTTCTCATTATTATTCAGGACTGAAATTTATCAGTCTCTTATTGACATATGTGCATACCGTGCATATTGCCTCGATATTGTTTTAATTCACAAGCATTATAAGCAAAGATGGATAGTAATTATTTATAGTATTTATATTATTATACTAAATAATTCCACTGCTAGCCACTATCCATCTTTGCTTAGAAATCATTAAGTGTTTAGCACCAATGTCCACTTGTTCTCAGATTATTCTTTTTAAACTTTTTTCAGAATTTATTCATATAGAATTAAGAATGGAGCTCTATTTATTGTTTAAATTACTGCCATAATAACTATTCATACATTTGAATAGGAATGGATCAATTTTGAAATTTAAACAAATTATGATAGCTAAAACTGATTAACAGTCACTGTAATATATGAATAAGTTCCATGGTTAATTACTAAAATCCATGTTTCATTCAACACATTTTCTAATCTGATAAGCTACTGTAGGGCCAGTGAAATGACACTAAACCCTAGCCAAATCATCCGGCAGTTGTGTCATTGAATATCGAGCAAATCATCGATCCTCGTCAAGGTCTGGGACAACCAACGCGCATCATTTAGTCGTATGCCATGGACTGTCCCATGCAGCAGTGGTCTTACCTTTGCTTGCATCTACTTAAACTAATATATTTCTGTAATAACGTCCTCTGTGTTGTACAGTCTTCAAAGCATCTATGGTACCTTGATACGTCAATGGGGTAGTCCACGTGGGGTGCTGACCACGAGGTGTGACTTCGACGTTAGCTAGTTTGTCACACCATTCACGTCTAACTCGAGTAGGCCTCCAATCATTTCGACATAGATCATTTACGCTGGTAATCTACATTACCATTTATGTATTTCTTGTATCAAACCCTACAAGTTAAAATCAATGCGTCAAACTGTATAACAATAAATAACCTGAACAAAGTATATTCTTTTCAATAAATTCATTTCCCATTCTATATTAAACACTAACCATTTCAAAAACATAAATTTTAATTTAATTTTATTGTCCATGTTAAATTTATACATTGTAAATACTTAAAGGATCTATTCACCTATGAAATTGTCTATCTCATTGAAGTATTCATTTGGATTTCTAACAGTAGAAGTTAATAGGCATTACAAAAATTTCATGCAATTAGTTCCCTTTATGAATTTAAATAAAGCAAGAAAAAATATTGATGCAGAATAGTATGAATTCATAATATTTCGAGGTTTCTCGTCAGCTGCTTACAACCACTGATATGTAATAGAATTTTGCATTGAGATAAAAAAATAGTATAGGACAATTGACATAAATGAATGTAAATAGCTGAAATGACAATGGTTTACAATGATAACTATATATATGCAAGAACAGGTCATAGGTTATTAGGTGTTATAATCAAGGAAACATTAAAGATGGATGGTGTAGCAGTTTTATCTTATCTGTCTTTGAACTCCACTCAGCTATTACACCATCCATCCTTAATGTTTCCTTGATTATAACACCTAATAACCTATATATATAGTTATCATTGTAAACCATTGTCATTCCAGTTATTTACATTCATTTATGTCAATTGTCCTATACTATTTCTTATCTCAATATAAAATTCTATTACATATCAGTGGTTGTAAGTAGCTGACGAGAAAACCTCGAAATAATATGAATTCATACTATTCTGCATCAATATTTGTTCTTGTTTTATTTTAATAGGCATTAATTGAAAAACTATTCTTCATTCATTTCATTAATATTTTTGTGTTAATGAAGTGAGAATTCTTCAAGTTAAATGAATGATGCTTTTTAAAGAGGGAAAAAAAATAATAACACATAAATCGATTCTTTGACCTGAAATTTATCATCTTCTTTTCTTTTCTCCTTACCTTTGCCTATTTCTTGGCATATTGTAACATTGTTGCTCACCTCTTTCGTTATCTACCACCATCTGGCTCTATTCATTGTTATAATGTTTATAATTGGTTGTATATAGTTTATTCATTTCTATTTTTCAAATTTAATTTAACATCTATTCATAGTTAAATATGTTAAACATCTTGTTTATGAATTAATATATGGCATAGATCAAATTAGGAACCATTAAAAACAACAACAACTTGAACTAAACGTTAATATAGTCCATCTTTTCCGATTCATTTTTATTCTCCTGTTAGATGGCCAAAATTAATTAGTGCTGAATTAGTTGTCTATCATTTGGTTGACGTTTTGAACTTTACTCTTTCTGGTTAAGTTTTGAAAAGTATGTAGTTTTGCTAGAGCTCATATAAAAAGTGTGACTCAAAGTCAAATATATAAAACTGGTTAGTGAGTTATATTAAATCAAATTAAAATATACCCTATAGCCTATTTACTAGTACTAGTTTCGTTTTGTTTATTAACCTTTAATTCATAGATTAGTCTAAGTGAATCGATATTGAGATATATAATGTATCTTAAAATTTCATGCAGTTCTGTTATCATTACTTATATGCAATCTAAAATAGGTCTTGATTTCTTCTGAATATAGTTAATGTTGTAGATTACTGGTCATGCTCACAGACTTAGAACTAGAGGCTTGAAAATGTGACGTGATTTTTGAAAATTTAACATAAATCTCCCTGTGAACTTGTTGTTTTTTGAAAGATAGCAGTCATTACAAGAATATGTAAATGGGAAAGGGATAAGCTGCACTCTCGTTTGCAATTTCGACTTAGCACCTGAAGATCAACCAAAATGAAGCGGTAATTATTATTTACACCATTGTTACCCATGATAGAGTGCGTGTTTCGTTCTCTGTCGTTTTTGCTGGCTTACACAAATAGTATAAAATTTTCTATGATAAAAATATCACTCCATCATGCTACGGAGGTGTCAATTGTATAGCAATCAGTCATGATTGAAGAAAAATTGCAACATACCAGCATTCATACTTCCAATCAGTTTGATAATAGGAATTATTCCAAATCATCACTTCAATCATTCTCATCCTGTGTACGTTCACTGATTTGATTTAAATAGTAAAAGAACAACAGAAAAGTTTCATGTATTACAATTTAAAATAAATAACTACATGAACCAAATCATTTGCAGATATCTCTATATGCAATCTTTTTCTTATATATTACTACCTTTGACCTAACCACTGCTATGAATCCGGTGTTCATCTTGTTGTGCTGATGCGGTATGGCAACCTGGACCGATGCACATATGTGCCTGGTCCTACGTTGTAGCTGACTGACTGACTGACTTGCAGATATTTAAAGAGCTGAACAAAAACGTCTAGATTTAGACGAAATGTGAGTTGATTTTATTTCAAGTAAGTATAAATAGTCAAATAAAGGTTATTTCAATCAGTCAGTCAGCCAAAACGTAGGACCAGGCACATTTATGCATCGGTCCAAGTTGCCGTACCACATTAACACAACAAAATGGACACCAGATTCATAAATGTAGTGAATTCAGGGGTGGTAATATATAAAAGAAAGATTGCATATAAGGATATAGTACAGGAAGAAAGAATTAGTTCGTAGAAAGAAAGATATGAAGCGATTTTAATCTCTTAGTTTAAGGGAAGACAGAGAGTGTATACACCGACGCCATTAAGGGTTATTTACATACCTATCTATCACATGATCATTAGACGACATGCTTGTTCTTCTAGAAATTCCTAATTATTTGAAAAATGAATCAATTCATTCAATTTCATAGTAATGACCAAATAAAGTAAACAGATGAGACTGAAATTCATTTATTTCCTCTATTCCTTTTATGTAATATGCTATCAGCATTAACGTTGATGCATACATTGTAAACTTTTTCTCCACCGATACATCTGTTTGTAAGCTTTTTTTCATAGTACAATTTTCAATACTGACATGTATTGTTTTTTTTGGTCATTCATTACAAACTTTGAAACTTTGCGCTAACTTTCCGAAAATATACATTTATATTCAGAATTTCTATAGTACACATTCCTAACTGTTTCTAATTGTGGCTCCTCAATACTATTAATCTAATTCCTAACCCATTATTTTTCAGTCTTCATTCTGTTTTGTGTCCTGCGCTTCTAATGTTTGAATTTCCACTGCAATTGAAATCAACCCCTCCCTCACTTTGTGAACTTGAAGTGTATATCCAGTTACCTGAGTTCCACTTTGACGAGTGATTAACATTGCACTTCATACAAGTTGATTGTATATGTACAGATATTATCGATTAAATTCTAATAGAACTTGGAATGATCTGTACTATTTGGTAACTAGATTTTTTTACATCCTCGATATAAATATAAATTATGATACAAAATGACTGGCATAAATCAAATTTCCATCGTATATTATGATTTCTAACGTAATCAGTATCACCGTTCGGTTACACACATTTTAGATAGTTTCGTTATTCTTGTCTTAAACTTTAGATCATTATAATGTAATGAAACCTTAAAGTGATTATTTCTAATTTCAGAAACGTATTCCACTACATGGGGGTTGTTAACTTAAGCTACATACAGATTAGTGAGCATTCAAACAGTCACACAGGATTATGTAGTTCTATTTCTATATTATGATTCTGCATTTTTTGCTTGCTCAATTTGTCTCATTCGATTATTTTTAAATACCAGTATCGGTTTTTCCTATTTTTTCGAGATTTTCGCATATTACCTGTACTAATGTAAAGTGTAACAACATGAAGTGGTAAACTACTGTGTTTAAGGTTATACATCGTTTCAGTCCAGCCATTAGTCAGCTTATTACTTGTGAACAAAAACGAGCGAGTGTATATCTTTGTGTGCATCCAAAGTTTAATCCTAATAATAATGCAAATAACCATCTACCATTCTTAGTCAACTCACTTTTGGGACAAGTAACTTTAACAATATAATGATACAGCTCATACGTAAATTACAAGTTTCTGTAAAGTTTATATGAGTACTGGTGTTAGTGTTCATCTGTCCAAACCTAAGTAGATAAGAGAGGTTAAAACTTACGCATTAAAAGTTGAGTAATTTAATAATTAGGCTGCAGCTCGATGAAAATAAATGCTTATTATACTATAAGTATCCCATAAAATAAATATTTGACTTAGAAATATAATTTGAAATTTTTACTTATTGAATGTATTCAACTACCTGATCATCGAATTATACCATTAACTCAATAACACAGTGAATCGTACCTCAACAAATTTAAATGATATCTAATATAAAACAATAGCTACTAAGCTACTAAGTTTTAACTTGATCGTGTTTCTTTTTTTTCATTTTAGGTGCAGCATTGTCACAATGTGGCGAGTACAGTCGTCAAATGGCTGCAGCTGAAAGTCAAAGGAATGCGATACTAGAAAAGAAAACATTATGTGTATTACATCATTTTTTGGCACTTGAATGGCCTGAAATACAAGTAAGTTATTGTTCAATTTGCTTTGTTGATTTATTTGTTTTTTTTTATTGAATACCAAGTTTCAATGGTATAGGAGTAGGTTGGAAGAAAGCTAGGGGCGGCCAGACCAAAACATGGCACAAGTCCATGAAGTCACTGAGTCATGTTGGTAGGTGTAGACAAACTGGTTGGGGACCGCGAAATGATAGCAACCGATGGTTAGAGACCTTGAATGACATGGTTCAAAATCGTTTGCAATGGCGCAGGTGCATACACTCTTTGTGTTCTCTCAAATTTAAATCTCCTGATTCTTCCTTGTCTCTTTTTTCTCTTCCCAAATTTATTTCATTGTATTATACTCTTTAAATAACATCTCTAAACCCTAATCTTCCCAATTACTGCTTGTACTGTTACTACCTCCATCGCTACGGGATTTGAATCGACAACAGCCTCTCTGTGTTAATGTGGTATGGCAAGTCGAACTGATTTACGTACAAACGAAGTTCTACGTTGTTACTGACTGACTGACTGACTTTAAATAGAATTCACTAGTGAACTCATGTATATGTTAACTTACCTAATATATATGTTCTGAAAAACATTTACAATTAATCCTCTTTTGTTAAGTTCCTTTCTTTGAGTTACTATATCTAATCAATACGCATATGTTCATGTGTTTTTTTCTCTCTCTTAATTATTCATATAATATAGAATATTTATTATGGTTAACAATAAAATATACTTCATTCACTGATTTTCAATTAATCGATTTCCTAGCTTGTCAATAATTAGATTTCATGTAATTGAAAAATGATTATGATTAGATTCTTCTTTTTTATTCTGATTATATACAATGGTTATCATTATTGATTGACCTTAGAGAATGAATTACGTCGTTAGCCTTCTGAAGCATATGATTTATTGATTAGAGTGTGTTCTGTATGTTTTTTTTTCTAAACATGTTCTGTTTTGTAACTTATTAATTAGTTTTTGTTTCTTTTTTAAAAACTAACCAACTTGAAAGATGTCAAAATTTCTTAAATTTATACAATCTAATATACAAGTCATATGAGCATATGTGTTATTTAAGTAAGACCAAATAAACTATACTAAATTATCATTGTTTTGACGAAGATTACATTGTTCAACATAGTCAAAATGAACAAATATTTAACATTTGACTTTCATTAGTCAAAGCAAGTTTCAGTCAAAACAATGACTAAAACTGTTGAAGAGAGATTGATTCTATTCTTTTTCATGTGTTTTACTTTGAATAGTGCTTTTTGTGTTAGCAGTAGTGATTCATCAGTGTTATCCGAACTTACCTGCGAGCCTCCTCCTTGTACTTGAAAGTTAAGTACATCAATTGTTATCCAAATAATAAGTATGCATTTTAAAGTTGGTGCTATTTATCAACTAGTTTTAGTGCCTATTAAGAAAAAATATGCATCACTGACGCATCTTAAATCAAATAATTTTTTTATGGTTGGCGTTTTTTTATCGAGTTAGTTTTCTATGGGATGGGGTCGCTAACCGCATGCCCAACCCTCCTCCTTTATCCTGGCTTGGGACCGGAAGTAGCTCCCGGAGGGACTCCAGGCGGAGTTGCATCTTAAATCATCTACAATTTATTCGATTTTATTATCAGTTTTCATCGTCACATAGATGTGGAGATTAACTTAAAAGAGTTTTTCACTAATTTAATGATTTTGTACTCATCCAAGATTTCGATAAGTCATTGGACCTAATTCCAATTTGGGTGAATTTACAAAAAATAACAACTTACTGCTAGGACATTAGGGAACTCATCTTGATGCTACAAAAATCGATAGTAATTTCCATGACGAATTCATGAAAGGATTTAGTTTAATATACACTACAATAAAATTAAATCGCAGTAAGTTCTAACGATATTTCTATGAGAAGCTGCTCTCTATGTAACGTTTGGGTTTAAAAGTAAAATACTGAGCCTTGAGCTATCTGGCTGTACAATGCCATGTTATCTAAGCTAATAAAATTATCATTTATACGGTTATTGTATACTATACTTTACTTAACTGATGTTATACTTTCATTTGAATAGATGGTTAACATCTTTTTGGTCATTTGATTTATATTCTTGTATATTACATGTATCACATTATATTAACGAATGATCTTTAGTACTGTAAAATATTCGCATAAGTCTAATGTCTATTTGTACAAGTCAATAAAATCAAAGTGTTGTATCCTTTATATTAAATCCAGTATAAAGCTTATCCATAAATGTTTACCCTTATGATACTTCAGTAAAATGGAAAATTGTTGTGTATGTGAACTTGTAATCAATTATCCATATTGATTGAATATGTGACCAAGTAATCATGATTAATCACTAATGTGAAAAATATTGATGTAAGCTCTCAACTAAATAAATGTTGATTGATTGAACAACTCTTCATTAAAATCGTTTTTCTTCCCTGTAAAATAACACTGTTATCTACAAAGCGTTTCACTGTATAGTGATGATTTTGTAGGTCACTTATTAAAAAAAGATAGGCTTCTTTCCCTGAATATATGCCAAGTATGAATTCATGTAATCAACTTTGAGTTTGTGATACTACTATCCGGTTGCTCAAATTGAAGCAGATGAGTTGGGGTTCGATCATGTAGTCCACTGATTAAAAGTTGAGTAATTTAATCATTATGCCATTCTTTCATAGAAGTAATATAGTATGGATTACAAATTACTAAATCCTTAACAATGATAATATGAAAATTATATTCGTTACACAAGCTAGTGGCTATTTGGACTCAGTAGGTCAGTGAATAACGGATTGGTAGTTAAAGAAGTTAACTAGGTTTGAGCTCTAGTGTGAAAATTTGATCCTTTTTATCAGCAATGGGACAATTCATCCTTTACTAACAATGAAATAAAGATCATGCTTGCTAACTAGTTTTATCAAAATTTCATTCTTCTAGATCTTGTAGTTATAACTGTTACTTGGTTTAAATTAGTGTAATAGGATTTATGAATAGCTTGGTCGTTTCCATAATTGATGTATATTTTACATATATCCACCTTCGTCAGAATGACAATCAATTTCAACTTCTTCTCAATAAGCCTGTACAACAAGATAGATGAAACATTGAAACATTTTTGAGCCTAAAACTTTGGACATATATCAAATCACACTACGAATACTGGGTGTAAATTTGTTAGGGAAGAAAAGTAATCCGAAAAAGTAATAAAACAGCAAATCGAATTATTCTCAAGACTAATAAAAATACATTTATTGAAGATCTTGCTTAGTAAGATTTAGATTTTCTTTTGATCAATCAAATTTTATAACTATTTCAAGAAGATTTTTGTGTTCTTGTGAAAAAGAAGCCTTCTTTGATCGAATGTATCGAAAAAGACACATTTTCACACATATATCTCAGTCAGTCAGTCATTCAACTACAACGTAGGACCAGGCACATATATGCATCGGTTTAAGTTGTCATACCGCATTAGTACAGCAAGATGAACACTGGATTCATAGAAGTAGTTAATTTAATGGTGATAATATATAAAAGAAAGACTGCAGGAAGAAAGAATTAGTACTTTTAAAGATATGAAGCGATTTTAACAATATATATCTAAGTATATTCTGAACTGAAACTGGCATCAGACCCATTTAATCTGCATTTTTTTAACAATATCATGTCCAATCAACTTTTATAAAAGACGGTAATATTCGAGTTCTCATAAAATGTGTTTGTAAACAGTTACAGAGATGTTCAAATTAATTTTAGTTGTTTGGTTATATAATTTGTGTAAGTAATAACTACCTTGTAGATGGTTTGTATCATAGACTATTATCTACTGAATAACGTGCATTTTTGGTTTTGAGTTTTACTCTAATAGACATTTATCTATAATAATTATGTTAAGATAACTCCTTTATATGTTTATCTTTTTATAGAAAGAACTTAGTCATTTGGAGTCGTATCGTTTGGATTATGATAAATTAAGAAGTAAAGTGAAGCATAATGAACATCCAGATGCTGAAGTAAACCATATTCTAGACTTGTTTTTTGTCTTTCTAAAATAAGCAGTCATAAATTTATAATGACAGATTGAGTTATCTTACTATAAATAATTTATAAAAGATATTTAATTACTTTTGAAATTCCACATGAAAACATAGTTTCCTTTGATTGTTATGGTTTGTTAATGAAAACATTAGTTGATTATCAGTCAGAGGGATATGTTAACACCCTGTATAACTGATCTATCACCTACACACCAATTAATTCACTAATCACATGCTAAAATATGCATAGCTCATATATACATGATTTTAAGGCATTTGTTTGATATATGTTGTATAGATTCTCACCAGTCATATGATTAACAATAACTTGGTTTTTCTTTATAATTCGTTATAAGGATAAAACGAATTAGTCGGTCAGTTGTTTTATTTTACAAAAATACAAATATTCCAGTAACATAAAACATTACTAAGTATATCAATGTGCACTCGGTAATCCCTTGTTGATTTTTTTGTATAATATGTGGTGCACAAATAATTTTCAATGATCAGTATTGGCGTGGTATGTTTGTTTGTTTATAACAGTACTGATTAAATTGAAGATTAAATAAACTTTTTATGCACCACATCAATGTCATGTTAAATGAAAGCGGCGACTGAAATTGGTACATTGAAGAGATGTGAAAGAATATGTATCTTGTTTGTACTTACTTTTCTATGATTTCTGGCAAGTCATTGGCAAAATCTATTAATTTTTATCTTAATTAATATCACTTTACTTCGGAATGTGTAGAAGTACCGTTGATGATATTTCTTTCGTTCGATTTAAGCGGCACAATAGTATTTATTAATGTAATTAATTTATTAACTACACAGCTATGTACTATGATCCACACCTTGGGAATTAGAGCTAGAGGTAGTACGCTGCTTCCCGAACTAAAGATATTTGTGATCGGGTTCGAACTGTGTACTTAATAGTTGGAATTGGTAGCCCTTAACGAATAAACCATAGTTCAACAGTCGTAGTATTACTAGTTCTCATGTAAACAATGTGATTCAAACCAAAGTACATAAATATGTACGTGGTGAATTCTAACAGTTAGTATTATAACAACTCTATCTACGTGGTCTAAGTAACTCATTTATCAAGAGATTTGGTTAAATTCCATATGGTTGATGTCTCGAAAGGAATTTAAAATATATTCAAACGTTTATATCTATTCAACAAAAAATCATCCACCAGGTGATAGATTTTACATGATTTCAATTTCGTGATTTTACATAAATCACTGACTTCTGTTTGTTCAAATAGTAAAATCAGCCAATTATGTTAAATATCACATATAATCGCACTTTTTTAAGACTTAATCGATAAATAGGTATGATTTTTCATGTCATAAAACATAAATTTGATTTCCCTATCTGGTAACAAATATGTGTATATTCACATGAGACTTTCATTATCTGGACAAAAATATGTGAACATTCCTAAGAGAAGAAAAATAAATAATAACTTCTGTCATACTTTGTAGAGTTGTCGTTGTCTATTGTTTTTTTTCTTAAATCTTTAGAAAGATTTGTGTTGGCTACCAATATTATGAATGGCCTAGATCGTATTTTCCATTGTTTGTTTGAACTTAGACTTTAAGATAATGACTTCATGGATTCTCAGGTTTTGTGTATATCTGAGGCTACCGATCCAGATTTTGGTGATAGTGTAGTGAAGAAAAACACATGGGGACAACCGAATTATATTCAGCTCGAAACTACAGAGTTACTTGGTAAAATAGAAAAACCATACGATAATACTTAATTTGCAAAATGTTCAATGATTGTCTCGAACCTCATTGTTCTTGCATTTCCATACTAATTGCTGTCTATTCCTGCTCTTCCTTTCTTGATCTTCCCCATCTGCTGCCAGACATTACATTCCCGACTCACGTGATATAGTACTTATATCAATATAAGTAGCACGCATCGCAATAGCTGGAATTTTTTGATCGATTTGACCTACTTTTACTCCCTTAGTGATGGATTCTGAGACACGATGTTTACACTACTTATTGAATATGAGTAACACAAAACAAACATCATAATTTTGTTTGGAATATCATACTCGGCTGATTTGATATTTGCACAAAACTGATCGCAATCGTCACTCAAACCAAGATATAGTATTCTCGTTCCAAAGTTTTTTTTTCAGATGAGAACATCTAATCCGCTATGGTTGAATCATTTACACATGAATGATATTTTCAGTGAACTTGATGTTCATGCCTATTTTTCAAGTGTTCGAAGTATACTTCTGATCATCACATAACAGTGGAGTTTCTATGACTAGATATGACAAAAAACTGAACTTCAGAGAAATGTTAGAATACATTTCAATCCAAGGTAGACATTAAGGAAGCTTTCCTATTTATACATAGTTTCAAACACTTATGATCTACTCAACAAGTCAATGGTTTCAGAATAAAATTATTGACAAAACATTGTTTGTCAGCATCAATGATACAAAAATCTCTTTCTGTTGTTTTAACTCCATGAATTGTCGATTTAAGTAGCTTTTGCCGTCCTTTTAAAAATTGAAGCGTGAATAAAACGTCTTTACATTTGTAGTATCTTTATCCTATTTAGAAAGAATAAGATTGATCTTTTCTAGTAAGATTAGGATTACTGATTTCATTAATGTTTTGATCAGTAGCTCTACCACCTTTCTTGTTCACAAGAATGAATAAAAATAACCTTCAGAGTAATAACCAGTGACCGTCAGATTTCATTTAAAAACATACACAAATATTTGTATATAAATGGAGGGACAATGATTAACTTTTATAGTATTATAATCAAAACTGTCCGCCATGTCTTCCATTATGCTCAACTTTCGTTTTTTATCGTCACAAACTTATTCATTTACACCAATATTTTTTCTTAAACAGACTTTGACAAAAATGGAAGACGCTAAAACCGTTCTTTATAAACAATTAGAAAAAACTAGAGCTAAACTACAGCAGGTCAAGTCGGTAAATGTAAGTCAGTGAAAATATTCACTTATTTTTATTACTATTAAACCATTTTTATGAACAATGTAAGCAAAACTGTATTTTAGCTGGGTAGTACTTTAATATGTACTTTACACTCACTTGAGGTTGTTTTACTTGTATCTTCCCATTATTATTTAGGACTACAATCGATCAGTCTCATGTTGGCTCAGGACTCAGTAGCTAGAGGGAGAACGCGATAGCGTTTAAAGCGAACGGTACTGGATTCAAGTCCCAGAGTGTACATCAACTCTGAGATGCAGGTACATCCACTTGACGAGTTCCAAATAGGACGAGATACGTGTCCTAGATTCCACTGCTAGCAACTATCCATCTGTACTGTTTATGGATTACTAATAAACCTTAACACATTGTATACAACATTGAATTACACTCATTACATACGTACATATTACTCATGTCTAATTGAAATTCTAAGTAATCTTTTTTGACAATATAGTTAGTTTGACCAAAAAATTTCGTAATTTTATTTAGAAAATTTGAATTTCCTTGTTTCCACGCCAAAGGCGCTCTTGTCACCTTCATGTTGTATTTCCCACTGGGAAATATCTTAAATGCTATTGGTCCGTTGCGTCTTTTAGTATGCTATTTGATAACTCTCCCCAAGGACAGTTTTGCACTGTATATATACGTTTTGAATTGTGTTTGTTGTTATCGCTCGTTTCTGACTGTTTTGCAGAATATATTTCCCATTCCAAGCTTGGACTTCTCCCTGTAGTTAGTGGGGCTGGGACGCATCAAATAGCTAGCTTACTGGTCTTTGGTCACCGAGTCTTGTTTCTCGTTCGCAGATTATGTGAACTCGTGTTAGCTTCAAACCTAGCACAAACTGAGAACACTTTTTTTGCCTATAATTAACAATTTAATAAAGTTATCCCTAGATTGTTATTACAGAGCTGATTTGAACAAAATAAATAAGAACAGTACATTTATCTTTCAGCAATCGACAAATTCAGGATCTAACACTATGCTTTAATTTCAATTCAGATTGTAATCATATAATATATAATATGCAAACTTTCACAAAATATATAAGATTCATGACTGACTTCTATGTGCTTTCAACATAGTTATGACTGAATTAGAGTTATATGAAATATCGAGTAAATCTCGAGTGATTGGTAACATGTAAAAAAAGGTAGAATGTTCTGTTGTCATTAAAAGAAATATTCAAAAGATCAAAGTTAATAACTTATTATACTTATTAATAATCTGTTAATCGTTTAATAATTCAGTAATCAAGCAGTTAAGTATTTACTTCTAATCAAAACAATCAATTTTATGTTTTTAGTTAAGATCATGAACCGATTGACGTTAGACCATCATTGTAAACGTGTAAGCACTGAAATGCTGTTTCGTCCTATCTTGGGACTCCTCAGTAGTGCTCGCGGAATTCGAACTGAGGGCACTGCTGAGGAGTCCCACAATAGGACGAGTTGGCCATCCAGTGCTTCCAGGTTTTCAATGATGGTTTAGCATCAATCGATTCATGATCTGAATCAAAAACTTGATAATCTCCACAACCTCTATACTGAAAATTAATTTTACATATGAATTTAAAATTGTCGTTTTTGGGAGGGCGGGTGGTGTTCTTAGAAATTAGATCTTTTAATTCACTTTGATAAATAGTACAAATTTTCTTGTTATAGTATGAACAAAATGACTTATATTAGGAAATGAATTATTTCTCAAAAATTCTGTCCAAATGAGTTAAAGTAAACAGGGTTTTTTAATAGTCACCATTTTTGACTTTTTGAGACACTTCTGAATGATGGATAGTAAAACTTACGTTTGGAATGGTTAATTCCTATTAATGCACTTTTGAAAAAATGTGTAAATTCCCTTATTTTTCATATATATCATGGTTGGTTGGAGCGGGGATGAAACACTGTGCTTTCTTTTGTCTTCACGTTAGTTGAGTCATGCGTGATTGTGTTGGAATATTCAGAAAAATATCCCAAAAATTATTCTGTTAAGCCCTTATGCTATCCTTGGACATGAAAAGGGTGTCATCCCATTGGTCAATATTCATTTAATGTCATTTTTCTACTGGTCAATATTGTACAATGTTATTTTCTATTTTATGGTACGATGTGGTCTGCTTGATTAGTATATAAACAGAGTGTGTTTGAAATATAATGATTCATATATTCGAGGCTGAGACTTGCGTTCTGGACTCAATTGGCTGGGCTAGACAGGGAAGCGGGACCAATCAGAACCCTAGGCCGTTCTACGTGTTTGCACGTCTTTGGTCCGATTAATAATTCTCTACCCTCTAATCTGCTGCCGTCACAGTTATAGCAGACTGAGAGCTTAATACAAGTTTGATTAAAGTATCTTTGTGTTGCGTTTACAGAGTGCATTAATTCTTGTATAAACTTTTCTAATTGCGTAGTTAGTATCGTTCTACTAGTAACTTCGTAATTGGAATCAATGTTAAGATTGTTATCATAATCCAATCAATAATGAATCATTAGAAGCCAAATAAAAACAAAACTAAAAACGGGTTTACCACTTTTATTTAATGTCCCTATGTATTCATATTCATAGTTCTACTTGTTAAAAAATATGAAGAATGTTAACCTGATGACCAAAATCTGAAATATTGTATATTTTACTACTATTTAGCTTAAGATTTTATGGTTGCCGTCTGAAACCGGTAAAGATTTTAGCATCTTAACTATCCGGTGTGATTGTCGTAACATTAGCCTATATCTTAAGAATACTAACAACCTGTTGAGATGTGAATGTTATTCAGATCTATCATTCATTGCTTTTCAAGTGAATATATCCGGATTACAAATAATCACATTCTATACCCATTGTCAGTAAATTCAATGACGTTTATTTATCGGATTGATATGTTTTTGTTTTCACAGGACTCTAATATGATTGCACTAAAAGAATTAGTAGCAGCTCAACGAACTTATTTCAGTGAATGCAGACAAAGGACTGAAGAATTGTCTGCTCAAATGGAACGATTGAAGTAAACATATATTTTTCGGGAAGAAAAGAGATTAAAATAAAATAAAAACATAACGCCAATCTTGTGTCTTCCCCATGCAACAGTCACTCTATACAACTACTCTATTGAAGCTCCAATAATAAAAATGATTTTTCAGTCTTTTTAGTCACAAATTCTTCGTGTTTCTCATCGACTTAAAACTGCTCGTTTTTTTTCTTGGGATGTTAACATACTTCTGCCGTTCAGTGTATATTTATATTAATGTCTATATTATTTGCCTTTTAACTTTCAATAATATCAATAATTACATTATTGAATTCAATAAGGAATTCACTTATTTCTTTTCAGTACTTTCATAGCTATTCTTGGATCTATATTTGTGTACGTGTGTTTTCTTTTCTGGTTTATGTGTATTTTCATACATTTATTGTGTCTTTTTGGGGGGGAAGGGGTAAGTTGGTGTTGGTTGATTGAAAATTTATTCATTCTGTTATACATATGACTTCTAAATTCCTTAAGTGGTATTAAAACTTATGGGTTATTTTATGTTAAGTGTTTTTATCTTACTGACCGAACAGTTTTCTGGTTTCACAAAGTATATTTGGTTACCATCAGTCCATATTGGAAATTAACTTTGTTATTTTATACAACAGAGAAAAGCAAATCATGAATGCTGGGATTTTATAAATAATTTTCTCTATGAGATGCTGGTTGATAGAGAATCATGATAAAATATTCATTCGGATTCATCTAATCGATTTACTCTCATTGAGATTAATCAATTTTTCTAAACATTAATTAGGTTTACAAGTAAAGATGGATAGTGGCTAGCAGTGGAACCCATGACGCGCATTTAGTCTTATTTCGGACTCAGCTGGATTGACCTCTATCTCAGAATTGATGTCCACTCTGGGACTCGAACACAGTATCGTTTGCTTCAAACACCATCGCATTATCCATTTAGGTACTGAGTTCTGATAGCCACTTGGTTGTGCGACGGGGTGAAGTTGATTTGGTGTTGTTCACTCGTATCTTCCCATTGTTATTTAGGACTACAATTGGTCAGTCTCTTGTTGATATATGTGCATCCTGTGCGGACTGCCTCGATATTGCTTGAAGACTCAGTAGCTAAATGGATAACGCGATGGCGTTTGAAGCGGACGGTACTGAGTTCGAGTCCCAGAGTGAACATCAACTCATGTGCAGGTACATCGAGCTGACGAGGATGAAACGCGCGTCGTGGATTCCACTGCTAGCCACCATCCATCTTTGCTTATAAAGCTTGTGACTTCAGGCAATATCGAGGCAGTCCGCACAGGATGCACATATATCAACAAGAGACTGACCAATTGTAGTCCTAAATAACAATGAGAAGATACGAGTAAATAACATCCAGGGAATATTGATTAGATTTCTGCGAAAATGACTACATAAATTGGATGGAAATAATACCAAGAGGATATATTGGTACAGCTATATGACTTTGAAATGACTCGGTCAGTCATAAACAACATAGAACTAACACATGTATGGACTGGGTTAAGGTACATTACCGCAACTATTTGAAATTAACCAGAGGAATAGTGAAGGAGTCAAAATTATAGTAGTTTTCATGTTATTAAAACGGACTAAAAGTTGAAGGTTATGTATGAAGGATTACCACAACATAATATATAGAGGAAGATGAATTGTGAATATATCACGCTGACGGTTACTAACTTTAACTCATGTCACACAATATCTTCACTGATCATGATTATCTCATAAACCCTTACCACATGGCATACATTTACCAACATGTCATAGTCCGCTATTCAGCAATTTCATAGATCTCTACAGCATCTTGATTTAGATACTCCTAGATCTTTTTCAGCCTACTCTTATCCCAACCAGTATCAAGATAAATAATGGTTGTGGATATGCAATACATGTTTTAGCGACCTCAGTTACTGGAAATTCATAGTCTCACCAATTGATTTAGTATATTTGCCTACTTCCGACCTAAGTATTACTAATCCCTCTGTTCCACGATACATGACCAATGATTTGAAGGCAGTTATGACCAAATAGTGAGAGTAGATAAGCTTAAGTTAAATATTGAATCGTTACCAGTTAAGGTTTGCTTGTTTGAATAGTTCCGACCAGGTGAATTCACTACCTATTATACTGAGCTACCACTCAAAACATTTAATCAGAAAATCCCTGTCGCATATCAAGAAAAATTTCTAACCGTGAAGTTTATGTTTTGTATCTATCACCTCTGTGTTAACAAAGCAAAACTGTACCAGGATATTTTCTTAAACGAACCACTCAAGTCATCATTCACTAGTGGAAAATTAATGGCCTTCAAATGCCTTTTTCATGCTATTTGGTATTCTTCAGTTAGCGGAGCATATCTGAAATCTTCGAAGAACTGACACTGATCACGGGTTTCGAGATCGCGTCATATAGTGTTGTAGTGAAGATCACTGTCGCTGAGTTATTTGGGTGGACAGTTTACTTTAAAGCAATAAAATGAAGTTACTTGTAAAACGCTTTCTTAGTTTCTTATCGAATCTATTTCACTCGAACTAAGACAGCAAAATCATTTGGTCGAAAAGAAGATATTTCTTTGCTTAACCTGTGATTTTGTTCAATCGAGAAGCATGCCGTTACATATCTTTTTTTTCGTTTAACTACCTTATAATACGACAAATAATGTTGTATCCTGGATGTCTAGGACAAATATTAGATTCTTATTTTTATCCCTATTTGTTTATCTTCTTCTACACTCACTTATCTTCACAATTCACGTTTAATCAGTAAACTTAACCTGGTTGTTCGTTATTTTCCATATGCATATATTCTCTAACCAACTTAAAAATACGATAACAATTTGTTACTGGGTCATTAAACTTCTCAACCACTCACCTGAAAAAAGTCTACTACTTCTCTTTAAATTTGGATCGGTATCCCTAAATATCTATTGAAAGAAATACAGTTTTAACAGAGGTTAGATATCAACTAGAGGTAGAATCCATAAAGTGAGTTTCATCCAATACAGAAGTAATCATCTGAATGTAGTTGTATCTGGTGATGTTATCACCCGGGCTCGAACCCGATACATTTCGTTGCATATTCATCGCTTTACTCAGAGTCCCGATAACCACTAACTTGTGCGCTGCGGATGAAGTCAATTTGAGTTGGTTTGAATTCGCAGGGTGAAAATCAGCGCTGGAGTACAGATACATCCAGATGACGAGTACTGAATAGGATTGGATTTGATTGTTAGCTAATGACCAATGCCAGTTAAAACTTCAGATCACGTGGCAATATCCAGTAAATTCTAACACAATGTACATATGCTAAAAAGAGAATGATCAGTCGCATTCCTTAACATAGATAATGTTAAAAAAACACGTTTTGGTTTAAGATTAGATGGTGATTAGAGGTAGTCGACAGGGAATACGGGTATAGTGCTACTTGGCACTCGTCAGCAAGGCGTACCTGTAATCTTGGGGGAACTGGTGTTCCCCGGCGGATTCCATCTTGTGTCACACAGCCTCACAGTCAGAGACGTTACCACTGAGCTATCCGAGCCGCGACCGACCTCCTGTAGGACTGAGTTGTAATCACAATTGATTGATCACTGGGTGACGATCAATGTCATGCGTGTCTAGTAGCACGAAACCCGGGTCCAGGGTTTCCTGTCGACTACCTCCAACCACCATCTAATCTCAATATATAGTGCCCGCAGTGTCGAGTTACCTAGATTGGTGGCCACATTGCAACATGATCGATAGCATTCGATCTGCACTAATAAGGACTAGACACGCATGACATTGATCGCCACCCAGTGATCAGTCAATTGTGATTACATCTCAGTCCTACAAGAGGTTAGTCACGGCTCGGATAGCTCAGTGGTAACGTCTCTGTCTGTGAAGCTGGGTGACACGAGATCGAATCCGCCAGGGAGCACCAGTTCCCTCAAGATTACAGGTACACCTTGCTGACGAGTGCCAAGTAGCACGAAACCCGGGTCCAGGGGTTCCTGTTGACTACCTCCAACCACCATCTAAACAGCATGGAATTCTCAAAATACAATATTTTCTCACTATATATATTTCTAAGTGCATAACTTTTTTGTTAAGTCAGCCTTATAACCCCTTCATCGTATGTTATATATGCTAGGCACAATATTATCGAGCTGTCGTACTTTTCATTGTATCTATATATAAATATGTATCTGCATCTCTTCCCTCTTAGATGTACAGATAGTAAGTTATGAATAAAATGGATAGTTTGTCCATGATGATAAATAACACTGACTAGATGCTTATAAGATTTCAAATATCTGTCTACAATCATATTTCTAATGACAACTCAAAAGTTCAGGAAAAAATAGTATGGAAAAATACAATATACTAAACAATAAATATTGTATACATACAGTAATATATAATGTCATATAACTTTCATAAATTTGTATATATTTTCAGAGTCTTAAAAGAACGTTTTATTTTGATCATTAAATTACTTACTTACTTACTTACTTACGCCTGTTACTCTTCGTGAAAGGGCATAAGCCGCTCACCAGCATTCTCCATCCAACCCTGTCCTAGGCAATCCTTTCCAGTTGTTATTCATCCTTTTCATATCTGCTTCTATTTCCCGACGAAATGTGTTATTTGGCCTTCTTCTTTTCCGCTTCCCTTCAGGATCTCAAGTTAGGGCATGCATCGTGATGCAGTTTGATGATTTGCGCAATAACATTTTGTTACTCATTGTTTATTTTTATTTAACATTTATTCCGCTTTCTATTTCAATGTGATCATTACTTAGTGCAGTATTTGTTTTGTTTCCTAGTATAATATTTTGTGCCCTCAAATTCCCTGGTACGACCGAGGATGGGGAGAGTCAGCTCACACTCTCGAAATGCTCCCACATGGCTGCGCGTGTACAACCAGTACTAGGGAAGTCTTACTCACTACCTTCTCACAGCATTACTGTTGTTTACGAAATTGAGAGGAAGAAAATCGAATGTCCAGTGCTTTAACCGGGTTGGTGGATATGAAGGATCCACCTAGTAGAATTGGAAAACCCTGATTCCAAACAATTGGTTCACGTGGGCTCCAGGATCCTGAAGGAATAAACGGCGTATGAACCAATTATTGGCCACAGGCTACCACGGGACTGCATCTCCGCACGTTGCTACACTGCTTGTGGATCATACTTTTAGGTAGAAGGCTCCAGGTGTGGCCCCTTACGAAAATCACCTTCTTCAGTTTGGGCTCCCTGATGATATCACTGCCCACACACGAATCAAGTGACGTATGTGGTGCGTATCTATTTGGTGCCCATTTCTACAAATATTTATTTATTCAAATAAATGATAGTACTAATAAACTTATTTTAGTGCGATGCATATTCAAGATACGATATTCTTGTATTAAATTAACATGAATTAGGCTCAAAATGACGCGCAGTATGTCAGTCAGTCAGTCAGCTACAACGTAGGACCAGGCACATATGTGCATCGGTCCAGGTTGCCATACCTCATTAGCACAGCAAGATGAACACCGGATTCATAGGAGTGGTTAGGTCAAAGGTTGCAATAAGGATATAGTATAGGAAGAAAGAATTAGTTCGTAGACAGAAAGAATGAAGTGATTTTAGTCTCTTAGTTTAAGGGAAGACAGGGAGTGTATACACCGACGCCACTGTGATCGATTCTGAGCCATGTCACCAAGAGTCTCCAACCATTGGTTACGAAAGTCACGCGGACCCCAACCAAGTAGTCTGCATCTACCAACGTGGCTCAGACTAGAAGTTAGTGACTTCAGGCACTGATGCCACGTTTTGGTTTGGCCGCCCCTAACTTTCTTCCAACCATCCCCTACCCCGGTTAGCATTGCACGTCGTGGTAATCGGTGTTCAGGCATACGTAATACGTGGCCCAACCATCTCAGTCGATGAAGATTCATAACCTCATCAACTGATTTACCACCATTCCCTAATACCCTGCGTCTAACCTCACTATTACTTACCCGGTGATCCCAGCAGATGCCAGCAATATTTCTAAGGCATCTGTGGTCAAATACTAGTAGCTTACGGGTGTCTTCTACTCTTAAGGGCCATGTTTCGCTGCCGTAAATTAAAACAGAACGAACTGCCGCGCAGTATACTCGTCCTTTTATTGATAGACGGATATCTCGCCTTCGCCAAAGGTGACGCAAGTTGGCAAAAGCCAAACGAGCTTTTCGAATCCGTGCTGAGATTTCGTCCGATACCAACCCATTAGGGCTGATCAGACTTCCACACGCAGTATGTGATTTGTTATAAATCTGGGTATTTTCCATATATGTGATTTCATTTTAATTAATTATCAAAATGGATTTACAATCAGTAAATGAGTGTATTTTCATCTAGAGTCATCGTCGTGTTTTGTGGTTCATGATTCTTTACTTGTACCAGTCTTGATGTTCTTACTTCGCGTCGTTGGAATCACAGTTGTTCCTTGTTTTGCAAGTAAAAGCAATGAGCAATACCGACATAACAATTAGCGATTACCGGACATAACAATTTAGTATTTTTTTAGTTTTATGATATATTTATTTTAATCTATAAAAGTTATTAAAAAACGTGACGTTTAGACAGATAGAAAGGTGTCATAGTTTAAATTACAAACTTATCTTATATAGACTACTATTTAAAACTTGAAAGTATGAGAATGAAGGTTCTGGGTTTGACCCCTGACGTTGAAACAATGGATGTATACTTACGAGAAACCTCATACTCTGGCGAGATAGATATCGAGTGCTTGCTGGTTTTTGACTATCATCTAACTACAATCGCCTCATGAAGTAAGCTGCTTAAATAACAGTTTATCTGAATTTTTGTGTTTAGGACTTAAGACAGAATTAGTTGCATTCCTTCTTTTAATTTCTTTTGAAAGTCTTCGAAAGCTAGAAAAGGACTGAAAATGCTTCAGTTAATCAACATTCAGTAAAGTCTTAAACAGACTGTTCTAGTATGATGATGAACAGTTTTTGTCATTTTCTTATTTGACAATTATCAATTTTCATATCCATTCTAGCATGTTTCCTATGGCTTTCAGAATATCAGCTTCATTCATAAAATTACAAATCCACTTGTTTCCTGTATCTAAACACTCTTTTTGTACTTCTTACTTCCTTATCTTCCATTTGGGTATCGATTGTAAGAGATTCCAAGAGAACTTAAGAGCAATTATCAAGTCAACCGAAAACGTTTAAGTACCAGGCATATATCAATTAATCTTACATTATCTTTAATCAATAAAAGTTCGTTTTCATCAGTAACCTTAGGAAGGGTCCAGAATATGCAGAAAATTAGTAAAATGTACTTAATAAAAGATTAAGCGATTTTTTTTAGAATTAATTCGTAATGACTTTGCTAGATAGTGACCTACTTACGTGTAATGGAACTTAGTATTATTATTATTATTACTACTTATCACCACTTAGTTTAAGTGAGTTGAAGCGATAAATTTGCGCAGAAAGAAAAACTGTTTGACCTAAAAAAAAACAGTTTTTCATCATTGAAAAACGTTCAATATAATCTAATGTATATTTATTAATTCTCTATATGTACTTATGAACTTAATACTTGACAACTAATGTTGTTCATTTCGTAGGATTCTTCACGTTTGTTTTTTTATATTTTTCTAAATAAGCGGGAACAGCTGAGCAATATTGATTAATTATTCAAGTAAAACGTTTGTTTTCATCAGTTGTTTACAATCTCAAAATGTTTATATAAGTTTGTAGGGGTTGATATTATACCAAGCTCATATAGGTTATTCTAGCCTCTGGATGGAACAATCTATTCATTCTTCCTATGCCACATTTTTACCCAGTCACTTGTTCGCTGATCCACCTTGGCTGTTTTTATGT